AGTAGAACCCAATTTCTTCGAATAAAATATGCACAGCAATTTCAGCCAAGACCCAGTGGAACGTAGGAAGCTCACGGACTGGAGGATAGCCACGCCATTCCATGAGGAAGTGACTCAGGTATATAATTGGCAGACCAACAATAATTTGATTAAAAACGACTTGGATGATAACTTTTATCAATTCTTTGTTGTCCACTGGTTCATTTGTGCCTGGTTGAATTTTGTAACGTCTAAGTGCAGCCGGACGATTCGTTACATCCAAAAGTGTATAAATACCACCGAAGAGCCAGTAGACAACGAATGTCAGTACCAATGACCCTAGAAGGACGATAAACAAATTTCATAGGATGATAAAACTTTTTTTATAATTTGTTTTCGTTTCATAACTTGATTTTACCATAAACGTAAAGCGTAATAGGGTCATCTCCAATAGTGTCTAGTATTTTATCCCATTGTGCTTGCCAAAAATCAGCGGAAGATCCCCAAAATCTCTGTAAATGCCTGGAAATTTTGTTTAAAATTAATTAATCACCATAAGAAAATTGCAAATAATCCATCGTGACTATTTTACAAATATTTTTGACAGTGTTGCTGTGAAGGAATCTCTTGTCGATAAAATATATATCCTTATGAAGTCCTTCAAAGCCCCCACCTACTACAGATATCCGTGGAATAATTGCGAGACCGATTTTTATTGAATTAATGTCTTGTTATCCATCCTTTTCTTGCTGAATGAATAGTGATGACAACTCTAATGCATACTAAATCAACAAATTACAAAAATGCGGTGAATGGTATCTCCACCGTGCAAAAATCATTGAAGGCATTGAAGGATTTGGCTGTCTGTTTACATCTTCCATTGACAGCTCAGAATGGATTCTGGATGAATTTTCATTAATTAATTTTTATTTTATATTCTTCGAATTCTTTTATAGTAAAAAATGCACCCGAAGAGGAATGCCTTGAGCATTCGAAATGTCGTGCAATTTGATTAATGGTTATTGTCAATTTTTGTTGCTGTAGGTCTGAACATGGCCCAAAGGAATTTTATTAACTTCATGGGAATCATTGAAGGCATACTTTGCAAAAAATTCAAAACAATGATTCTGGTTCTAAAGGAATTTATAAAAATAATCCACACGTGAATCTGCTCTTCATTATCTTGAGACTTCATTACCAATCGATTGAATTAAGACTGATTCTTTATGCCCGAGAAAATGGTATGAACACCTCAATTTTTAAGTAATGATGATTGATTCTCCTCTGAATCAATCATGATGACGATTAATTGGCAGAATCATTAAAAATCATTTTTAAAATAAATGTGGTCGTCCACATGAAAAGGGCCCACTTTCACGGTATTGGAGTTATGTATGTTCCGATAATCTTGATCAGATTTCTCACATTTTGAGCCCAAAATCAACCCGATAGAATGAAAACTGACGTCAGTATAGACGATGAAAAAAACAATTTTACATTGGTTTAAATGGGAGATGTGGAGAGAAAAACGTGAATATCTCAGAAACTAGATGCGACAAAGTGGGCCCTTTTCATGTGGACGTACACAAATTTTTCGGACAATACCGAAATTGATACCGTAGATTGCGTGTCATTTATCTCTGTAACAAAACCGATACTAGGAGCAATGACGGACGACAAAGGTTAATAGAAAAATCTAGCGAATTCGGTAGACAATTCTATTCGATTTCTATTAAACTTTCTATTGATTTTTGGCCGATTCTATTGAAATGATCAATAGAAAATATTCTATAGAAAAAGTCAATAAAATTCAATTTTTCTGTAAAACTTATTCTATTGAGATGTTTTTTATAGAATTTTCTCGGCGCAAATTTTCTAAGGTGTTTTGTTGGGCTTTCTTGATGAAAAGAAAAGAAAACAGAATGAAAAAAACTTGGAAAATTTGAGCCGAGGAAACTATAGAAAATATCTCAACACAATAAGTTGTATTGAAAAATCGAATTCGCTAGGTTTTTCTATTATAGTATATTAGACCACAAGGGCATGAATTTAGTTTTCGACGAATGTGAAGTTTCCAGGCCGAGCCGAAGGCGAGGTCTGTACTCACATTTGTTGAAAACGAAATTTATGCCCGAGTGGTCTATACTATATTATGTTACATCGTGCGATAGTGGAGCGTATACGCAGCGTGCTTTAAACTTTACGCAGCGTGCGTTAAACTTTAAGCTTCGCGCAGCGTGCTTTAAACTTTACTTATCGTACGGTGTCATAAAATTTTTTTGAGCGTGAACATCAGGGTACTTTTTTGCTATTCCCACCTTCAAAAGATATTCGCAAAATGATCACAGAACCGGTTTTATCAGACTAATCTTTTTTTCTCTATTTCTTCCATACTGAATGAATCATCCTGTCAATTAATAGCAACTGCTTGTCGAAATCAACAAATTGCAAGGAAGCGGCGAGTGGTGTGACTACCGTGGCAAAATCGTTTGAAGGTATTTCAAGGAGATTTTTCGAATACAGGAAAGATTTTCCCTATTCGCGAAATATTAGCAAAAATAATGCACATGTAATTTTGCGTGTATTCATCTTAAGGATATCCAAATATCTTTTATAGTTTAGTACAGACCACGCTATAGATTCAACGATTTTCAATCATCAAATTTGTCAATTAAATTGCATGAGGAAAATTTGAAAAACATCACGAATATTCAGCGTCATTAAAAGCATATTTTGCACAGAATTATTTTTTAAACATTCGTTGTTTATAAATAAATAGTTAACATGGTTTAAACTTTCGGAAATATCATTTTCTTAGACAGGAAATCGATTTCTGGTAAAATTCTGAATATGAATAAATTTGTTACCATTCCGAACAAATGATTTTTATGGTGGAAAGTTGATTGTTTATAAATTATTTATAAAAAATGCTCGTAATTTTCAAAAAGTGCAATTATTCAATTATTTCACCCATCTTCCCCCAAAAGTGAACTTTCTACTTTTTTTCAGATTTTTAAAATCTTTTCTAACGGTTCAATATAGAGAGTCAAAATCAGACCTGCTAAGTTTAAAAAAGGAAATAATTGTAAATGTCCAGAAACTTACGGTCAAATGGGGCTCGAATGAAAGCTCTGATGTTCGACTACAAAAGTGTAAAACCATTTCATTGGAGAAAAAATAGCCAAAGTACTTGGATATCCTTAACACTCCACTACACTGAACAAAACGTACAAGTTCTCAAACAAGTCTTGTCTGGGCCAACAAAATCGTTAGTTGAAAATTACCAGAAAAATAATTGTTTGGTTCGAATTTGAAAGTCTCAGATATGAACATATGCTATGCTTTCAACAACAACGAAATATTAGGCTCAAGAGCCGGATCATTCATACAAGACAGTGTCTTTTCAGGCTAAAAATATCTTTTATAAAGGGAAGTTTATCAAGAAATATTTTGTCCCTAAATTACAAGATTGCTGTCATATCGTTATTATTATTTCATTTAAGAATCCATTTTTTATCTGTGATTATTGATTAGCCGAAGCAACACACTACTATCCCTCGGTTAATATAAAATGAGCATTTGTCGGGAGCAAAATACGTATGGGAGCATCGAATAACGAAGAAATAGTGCTAGAACATTTGATGACATTTCTCGTTTGCACAGCAGTAAATTTTTTTTGAAAAGACTAAATCTATTTTGGCTATAAACATTTTTAATCTCGACGCACGCTTCGCATGTTTGGCACAAAAAAATCCTTTTTTGATAGTTGTTAAAAAACGATTTTTTTTGCCACAAGTAAGACTTGTTTGCAAACTCTGCTGCTTTGCTCTCAGTCTATGAAAAATAAAAGTTCTTCGCGGCTCCTTTCGTGCGTCACAAGGGAATGAATGATAAAAAGTAGCACATTCTATCACTACCATGTGCAAATCATTAGAAGTTATTCTTCGTGGGAAATTTATCGTATAATAATCCGCATATCATTTCGTTGCGACTCCTCATAGTCCTTCACTGCAGAATAATTGAATTATTTCGGTAATAACTCGTCCTAGGAGCAATCATCATCTGAGAAAATTTCCAACAAAAAATTTCTCCTGATAAAACTCCTTCCCTCTTCAAAAAATCATAATAAACTCTAATTGTCTGCCCCTTCCCTGCTGAATAAATCATCATGACAATTGATACCAATTCAATACCTAAACACTTACCAAGTCAAAGAATTACAAAAAGCAGCGAATCCTATGACCACAGTTCCAATGACGAACAAAACACTTCGCAAACTGGACAACAAAGTGGGTTGAGCCTGCCCCTTTGTCCCAGGTCCCTCTGGAATTTTCAATGGGACATCAAACGATCCCGATTTTTCACGCAAATAATTCATCATGAAATATAAAAAAAAAATCTACATAAACTCCAACTAAGTATTAAAATAAAAAATAGAAAGTAAACTGCACCTCTCCTTCAAAACCTCTTATGACAGCGACGTATACGAAAGAAAAAAAAAACAATGATAAGACTAACGAAGTAGATAACAATGTTTGCCAAGGAATTGTTTGATAAGAATAATTTGAACATCACTGACAGTTATTCAAAACTATTGACATGCAATTGTCAATAAAAATAAATGAAAAAACCTCGACTATTATCACTTTTTATCACTCATTATCATCAATAAAAATAAATGAAATGCACTTACCTTTACATTGTATCTGGACATCCATTTTTGTTGAATGATAATTGGGTTCAATTTGTTGATAGTTATAAAGGTGTTGACATTGACTCGAGAACAACGTCTAGTCGATAGACGGAAAACGATGTGAGAATTGCAAATATGCGCCGTAGCTCTCAACAAGAGCACTGAGAGGCCACTGTGAACCTAGCGTTATATACCAGTTTTGTTTGTTGTGTCGTCATCAATGCCGTTACTTTACCACTAACATATATATAATTAGAAAATGACGGTCATAAAATTGGTGGTAAGAATGATTCAAGACAAAATATTAAAGATTTATTGAAAAACGTCATTGACTGCTCAATAAATTTATTATTAAAGGCTTTTTTACTGTTAGACTCTTTTGTAATGCAGAAATAATCTTTATTTCATTCTTATTTTACTTCAGGTTATAATTTAATGCTCTAGATATTTCTGTTTTTCATTTTTTCTGAGTGAGGGGGGGGGGCTTAGCGAATAAAATAAGGTTTTCTTTAGGCTTTCAGGGCAGATTTCTGGCGGGCCTGCTGGAACATCTGTTGAAGTTTGTCGAGAGTCTCACGATGTTTCTCTTGCTTTGAGTCGAGATCTGCTATCAATGCCTCTGTTCGTTTCCTGGAATGCAAAATGATAGGAATATTGTGATGAGAAAAAAAGGACTGATTTTAGGAGATAATTTCGGGAGAAATTTCTAAGAGGTCTTTAAATGAATTCTTGTATTACCACTTATTACTGCGATGACTCATGCAATTAATCAAAAGTGACTTGGTGAATAGTTAATAAATAATTTCTGAGCTATTTTGAAAATATTCTAGGAATGATTGGCTTCAGAGAATTCCACGAAAGACTTTTTGTTGGCTATAAAAATTCTACACAAAAGATCTGATGATTGTCTCTGACACCGCTTATTGCGGAGATTATTCCATGAATGAATACACTGCGAGAAAAATCGCAGTTCTCAAACTAAAAAAAAATTAAATTAAAAATAGTTTCTTCTATAAATTCACGAGCATGGTAAGGCAGTTAAATTTCATGCATTACCAGCTCTTGGTGTTACCCAGGATCCATGACGAGGACGTGACTGGCATAGGATCCCAAGAAGACCCCAATATATTTTCCTGTGGTGACTTTGACATGTGATATTATTCCGTCGCCTCAGCCTAATATTTCATTGTTGTTAAGAGCACAGCAATTATTCATATTTGCGACTTTCAAATTCGAACCAAACAATTTTTTTATTTATAATTTTCAACTAACGATTTTGTTGGCCCGAACAAGGCTTGTTTGAGAACTTGTTCGTTTTCCTCTCAGAGTAGTGAAATTACAAAACGAATCGAAGGATGGTATTTTGATGATTTCGGAAATATTTTCGGGGTGAGTGGGTCTACATAGAATGTTTGTGGATATTTTTTCGAGGATATTTCACGCTTAACAAAAAAGATCTTTTGACATTTTCTCCTGAATCCACTCATTCCTAACTTACACTATTCAAAATTTTTTACTGAAATTTTCGTTAAGAGTCTTGGAAGTTTCTAAGAAGTAACATTTCTATTGAAATTTCAAGGGATTTTGTCATTGAAAATTCATAATTTCATAGAAAAATCCGTGCAAACTGTAAATTTCAATTCACTTATTCTGGGAAAATTAATGAAAAATCAGGAAAATTCAGAGAAATCTCTCCTTGAATTCCAGATTTCTCTGAATTTTCAGGGCTCTCCTTCAAAAATTCCTGGAATTCCAAGAATTTTAAAGGAATTATCTGAAAATTCAAGGGAATTTGGTAGTTAATATTCATTTTCACTTGAAAATTCATGTAAATTGTTAAATTTCGTCTTCCTACCGCTAAAAAATGGGACTTTACTTGAATTTTCAGAGGAATTTGAAATTCAATTGACGTTTTTTCACCTTAACGCCAATTGAAGGTAATTTTCCGGAAAATTCAGCCAAATTTTGTTGATAGTGTATATACAGAATAATTCGTCTGTTACTACTGAACTCAAAGCGAATACGAATTCTTGAGAAAAAAAATTGTAGTCCAATCGATTAATGCTTTGTGCTTACAATTCATTTGTTATGAATTCAATTCGCTTATTGACATTCTGCCTAGCCTCTTCCAAGTCCTGTTTGATAAGAACTGGTCCAATCAATTTGAAAACTTCATTGCCAGATTTGAGGAGACTAAGTTCCTCTTTCACTGTGGAATTTTCGTTTAATTGACCATCGAGTTGTTGTCGACTAATCAGCGCTTTGTGGTATTCTGGAACAGTAATAAAGATATTAGAACGTACTCTCCCCTTTGAAAAATTGGATTTCACTGGAGAAGAAGATTTTGGAGCATGTTCATCATGCAACAACAATCACCGAATATATATCCAAGGAAATAATCACATAAATAATTTTTGAAAATCACCTCTCTGCAATTGTTTGTAAGCATCAACCTCAGACTGCATTTTCTTTTGGAATTCCTCCATTTCTCTCCTCAAAAATAACCAAAAAAAGGTAATTAAATTAGTCAATATTTCAAGGTATCTGATAATGATGAAAACAATGTTGAGCATTTTACTCCTAATAAATTCATAATTTTCGTCGAGCTGAAAGTAAAATAATAAACTTACTTGAGCGCTTTTTCACAACTTGGAGTGTCAAATTTGTTTACGAAATAAATAAATTATATGAATGCGTTCACAGGCAACGAGAATGTATGAACATCAACCAACACAATGACCATAAATGTCGAAGTAAAGAAAGAATTTGAGAAAGTTCCTAGGAACTATTTTTATCTCTCTTGCACTCGTGGCGCTCGTCTGTATGTCCTATGTCGATGTTACTAGGACCACAGTGGCGCCTTTTGAAATATTGAGCGCCAAACTTGAAGAGTGGATACGTTAGCCGCTAAACCTCTAATTAGGACTCCATCGAAGTTGACTCGTTCGTGACGAAATAATTGGGTTGAAGGTTTATTTTTCAAATAAATCCATTAGACCAGTGCTTAGGAGAGCACATTAACACTTTATCTATTAAACTTGTTGGACTCGAAAAACTTTAAACTGTGAACTACACACTCAATAAACTTATGAAAACTCTAAGTAAACTTTAATGAAAACTAATTGAAGAGAGAAGCTCAAAAAGTTGTTGGAACAACAGCCACGATGGGACTGGATGGGACTAACTAAAACTTAAACTTAACTTTTAGGGTTGGGTTCAACAACCCCCACTAGCCCACAAGTTGCGCACGCAAACCTGGCCCAGGGGAAAGCGAAAAGTGAAACCCAAGGGAAAATGGGAGAAAAGGGGAGCGTGTGATGTCGCAACTTTTCCCCTCAGAGGGTTTTAGGCCCTCTTAGCGATACAATAAACAAAAGAGAGCTCACACGTATCGAACACATGCTACACCGGAACTTTCGAAATAAACAACTGAAATTTTACGACTTGGGACCCTGACCGTTAATTTTACTTTCCTCTCTAAGTTTTGGATTTTTCAAGGTCAAGTCTTTTCCGTGACGAGTTTTGGAGGGCAATAAATTCGGATTTAAACTCAAGTATTTGACATTTACAATTTTCTGTAACGGTTTTTCTCACGATTGTGGAGTTATTTTCTTCCTTTGTTCATTGTCCTTTCTTTTCCGTACTTCTCAGCATACTACGTTTTAAAAATATCATTTTAAAAATCATTTCCGAACCATAATTTGAATCTCGCGGATTTTTATGGCCGATTAATAGTGCCATCTACGAAATTCAACGTCGGGACGGACGTTACACGTCGTCATCTAGAGTTTTTGGAGAGAGGGGTTTGGCAACATGTATGGTCTATGTTACTAGACTCAATTCCCGGAAGATTATAACTATTGGACGTTTTTTTGAAATTTTCACAAATTTTTTTCTTTCGGAAGAAGTAATTTTTTTGTTAGTTCTCAATATGTATTGCCAACTGAAATTCCGTGTTCTTTCGATTGAGTATGGTTATAATCAGTTGATTCCATCGGAAATGACTTAAAAGGTCTTTAAATTTCTTTTATATCACTAGTTTATGGAATAAACTTTATTTAATGAATTAATATTCATCGGAACTCTCCCATGTGACTCTCTGTGGCCAGTTTCTCGTTACTGGAATTACTTTTTCTGTATTTTATTTCAATGTAAATTGTTTAAAGTAAATAAAAATGGCATGTAAAAGAGAAGAAATTCAAATTTTCGAATTCTACCGTGTTCTCTCCCTTTCCAGTATTGTTACCCCCGCTGTGTGCTGGGTCGAATGGATTGAGTCAAGCAGAGGAGATGGGCCTTTATGATTCGAGTTGTAAAGGCCCATCGCCCAATTTAACGCGCTCTATTCGCTCCATTGAAACACGCAAATTGAGGTCGGGAGCACGGTTTGCTCTGAGAGCAGACTTTGCCTGGCCATGCTCTAGCGAGTTCGCTAGGTTTTTCTATTAAATTTTTCCATACGTGTAAGTCTGTCACAGAGACAGGAAATTACTATGGATTCATTCGGAAGCTTACTATCAATGGAATTGGCACAAGTAAAAACAAGCAGAGGTAGTGAGCATATGACAGCGAGCACGTGACAATGAGCATGTTATTGAGTCATTTTTTTATTTTTTCATCGCCATCAATAAATTGATGGTAGACAAAAATGAAACTATCTCTCAATTTTGTATAATTGGGTGCAGATATTCTGATTGTGCAAGATAAAGGACATCGAGACGAAAATTAGAAAAAAAAATTATAATTGGTTAACTCGCTATTGAGATATTAAAGAAATTAGATTTACATATAAAGTTGAATGTCTCAGAAACTAATTATCCGATTGAGACCATTTTCAATACGAACCATTGTTACTACTAGAGACAACTTCATCCCAAATTTCAAGTTGATATCTCCATTTTTGCGGATGCTAGAGTGCGAACAACGATTTTAGGTCAAAAAGAGAAAAATCTAAATATCTCGAAAACTTTCTATAAATGGGTATACATATTTTGATTGATTGTGATAGAGGGCATCAAGACGAATATTTTGAAGAAAAAGAATGAAATCGATTGGGTAGTTTTCGAGATATTTAGGAAAAAGTGTAAAGAAACAAATGGCTATTTCTCAAAAACTAATTGACGGATCCAGCTGAATTTAGGCATGGAGTTAGTCCCAAATGATTTCAATAAACTGACAAAATTTCAGATTTTTTGGAATAAAGTTTCTCATTTATTCGTTAATTTTAAGAAAAAGTGACCACCGCCGAGTAGACATTATCACACACAGACATGGTCCCCAAACTTCGTATTTTTCCGTTTCAGACCATTCTGAATCGTTTCCAAGCAAAATTAGCAAAAATGAAAATCGAACGAATGCAAAGCTTCCATTCGGAAGCAAAAAGGACGAAAAAACGACGAATAACGCAAAAAGTAAAAATTTTTGTCCTCTGGATTGAACTTTTATAGAACGATAATTAAACAAAGATCAGGGTAAGTCAGGGTTCTATTCAAGTGTTTGGATTGGTTCATTTTCCTCGACTTTTTTTATTCTCTTTATTTTTTTATTTATAAAATATGTCAATGCACTTGCTCAATATCCAAATTCAATTACAATATAATCACCCAACAATAAACATTTCGTTAAAAAATATATTCTTCACCTGGTACTGAGAAAATGAGGAAACCCAGGTTTACAATTGAGTATTCATTCTCTTTACAATGATTCATTCTATGAATACTTTGTGGTGCTTTCTTCAGTAAAAATGAGATAATTTAGTCATTGGATCGAGAAGATATGCATTAATTATGAACACCACTTATTTAACAGAATACAAAGAAGAAAAATAATTTCGGCATAACTATAACAAATCTGTTCAGTTCATCTTGGACCTTCGAACTAATTTCAATGGCAAATACGTGTAATGAAATACAGTAAAAATGAAAACATAGAGATCTCTGCGAAAAATAATTCTGAGGTGAATCATCCAGTATGAGAATCCGTTTTGTGATTCAACCAATTCACCTTGAGGAAAAAAATGCTTATTCCGAATTTTTCTTGCGTTCAGAATGTAATATAGTCTGTATCAATTCATTCAGACATTATGAAACTTTTCCCATATTCAAGTTATTGTGAAACTTTATTCGTTCGAACACTGGCCGATTCACCCTATTCTAATAAATATGTTCCCGAGAAGTTGAAGAAAAAAAATTCTAAATTTAATTAAGGTTCCTTCGAGAATATCAGAGGACCTTCTTCGTAGCTCATTACATTTTCTACGAAAAAGGTCTTCTAATGAATTCCTCTCAACTTTTTCCTTCGGATCCCGAGATTTTCGTCCAGTAATCTTCGTATTAATTTTGATTTTTTCTCTTTCATAAACTTTGAATCATTTAAATATCTCGAAACTGACAGATTTTATGGAGAAATGTGGTAAGACGTTCTTTGAATTACAGAAAAAAATTTATATGGAGAATGTTTTCTGAAAATCTCGTGATAGAACTGTTTCGATATTTATCTACTGAAATTTTGCACTATTTCTATTTCTTCACATAAAAAATTGAAAAATCGGTCGTTAAATCTGTAAGATATGCATCAAATTACGAACACGACCTCATTAAAATGATAACTAAACGTCAATTATCATAAATACAAAAATTGCACAATCTCTTCAGTTTATCTCAGAAAATGGAAAAACCACGCATAAAAAGCTTGTAAAATAAATTCTAAACTCAAATCTTTCCTAAGATAACAAAATTCTAATTGAATAAATGGTTGCACTGGTCCGATCTATTTCACAAAGAAGTTGCATTCTAAAACTAAGAATTTGACATCTTCATTTTTATGCAGAAGAGGTGGAGGGCCCAGTGGGTAGTTATCGAATTATTTACGTCCTCTGGAATATCGACCCCGAGAATTATTTTTGGATATTTTGTCGGTTACTACTGACAGCGGAAAGTATACACTGAGAAAAAACTGCTTTTAACAAAGAAGTAAAATTGTCAGTTTTAAAAATCGTGAAATTTCCTGATAAATAATTCGTTCTAGGCTGAAAGCCCTCGGGCAATGGCCATTTGTAACAATGTATATTTCTTGCAATAAATAACGTTAAAAGTTAAAGTTAGTTAATCTCATTCTCAGACTGAGAGAAAAAAGTTTTCCAGCAGAATGAGATTCTTTTGTCCCGAGAGAATTTGTAAGCGTTTACAACACTAGAAATGATGTCCTTCCCATAAATTCATGTAGTTTGCGTTATATCTAGAATTTTTTTCATCGGGACTTTGATTACATAAAATCTTGCACAAAGAGCACAACACTTGAGATCAATTTTCTATACACTTGAATTGATGATGAAAGTGTTCGTCGTGCAATTGAAACAAAAATTCATCAGTTGGAGATGATCAGGGATTAAATCGAGAAAGTGTAAATTCTCATAATCTTTTAAATTTTAGGTATAACGCAAACTATATGAATTTATGGGAAGCCGTACCCTAACACTTATAAATTTTGTCGGGACAATTTTACCCGGAGATTTAACGATTCTAGAAATTGACAAGCGAATATTTTCTCGTATCAAGAAAATTATCTTTGTCAGAAGTAATTGTTTCTCTCAGTGTACGAAAAATATCTGTAGTGAACCCCTGTAGAATTCCCCCACCGTACCAATTCTCTTGATCAAAACTCCAGGCGGAAAAAGTAATCTACCAAAATTATTTTGGCAAAATTATCTAGTCATGAAGCCGATGTTACTCATCTCGACTTTGAAGCATCACGAATTTCTCCTCGAAACCTCATCCACCATCTGCTGAAAGCTAACACCGCCCGCACAAACCCTCATCATTCCAATACTCTCAAACAACTGACCAGCCTGGAGATTCTCAGGCAATCTCGTCAAGAACTGAGCACCCCTGACAAAATCCATGCCTAACAGTTCCTCCTGATAAAGATTCAAAACCCCCAACGCCGTCCTGAACAAAAACTCATCCCCATCCCTGACAAAAATATCCCAAACCCTGCAGGCAACGTCCAACGGCATGGCCTTGGCATAAATTGTGTAAACCCAGTCCAGCAAATAAAAATCAGGACTCAATCCAGAAGAGACAAAATGAGCATGAACTTTTGGCAGATTATTCAATAACGCTGTAGTATAAACCTTATAATAAACATTCATTTGAGTCTGGTTGAGGGTAAATGCAGCCCTGTGACAAGGATTATCCAACAGATTCGAAAAACAGATGAATGCGTCATTTGGCTCCATATTCAATGTCAAAATTGCACCGATGAAGCTCATTCCCTGGACGTATCCCACCTCAGGCCTGTGAACGCAATACGCAGCTAAAACACTGCGCAAGGGTTCATTCAATGGTCCATCCTCCTGGAACACACACAAAGCTGGAAAGGTCCTTGACACATCCAACTTGATTGCCACTAGGAACTCGTGATTAATTTTCTCTCTCATGTCATTGAGACAATTTCTGTAAATGTGGTCTTCTATGCCTAATCTGTTACTAATTCCCAATCTCCAGACTCTTCCTCTTATGCTGGGGGGCAATCCCCTCCACCAGAGGTCCTTCACATCCTTCGATGATTTCAGTTCCTTAAAATTAGGGAGAATTTCATTGGTCCAGAGTCTGGAGTCGATCAAGAGTCGCTCTTCCTCTTTATGTCTCTCTTCTTGTTTCTTCTTCCGTTCTTTCTCCTCTCGGGTCTCTCGTCTCCGCACTGACTCGAGGATCTCATTGTGTTGCTTCTGGTGCTTGATTTCTTCCTCCAGAGTCTTCGCTGGGAGGTAAGATGGACGAGAGTGCTGAATCAGACCTAGAGAGCCTATTCTGTCGTTTCGAAGGGGCTTGCTTGAGTTTTCACGCCGCCTGAAGAAATTTTTCATTAGCTCCAGGGTTAAGAGCTTGGCTTCAGATTTGTCCAACATAATCTCATTTTGTGGAACACTCTCGTGAAGTTTTTGGGAGTGATGGGGTGGGGGGTGGAGTGAATCTCAATTCATTTTGGATTTTAGGAGGTGGAGGATTAGTCTTTTGTTGTTCAGATCTTAGTTTGAGGTTCATTGAGGTTCTGTTGTGGCTGGTTAACTCCACTGCAACATAATAATTGAAGTGTTGGGTCATTGTTGAGGTATCTGTTGCTTTTTAAAAATCTAGTTCAGTAATGAAGTGGTAAAGGTCAACAAACGAATATAAAATTTCTATGAGGTTCGGTATGCTTCATGATTTGGATGCCGAATTATTCAAAATCAACATGATACCGACGATAATGGGGTAAAATGGACCAGCTTCAATCGTCAAAGGCTGTGATTCAGATGAATCAGGTCTTATTTTTTAGCTTAAAAAGTATTTTGAGAATGGGGAAAATCGGAATATTCCACTTTGCTGTTTCTAAGTTATTGATAGGGAATTGACCTCGGGAAAAATTTCGTTTTCCGAAAAAAAAATTTCAAATGACCATTTTTCCGCGTAATTTTTTCTCAGGAATCCGATTTTGTAGATCAAATTTGTCCGAAACCGCTAAAAATGAGAGATGCAATTTTTTTAAGTTGATTGATTTTCATACAGAAAAAAATCGAATTTCTCATTTTTAGCAGTTGGAGACAAATTTGACCTACAAAATCGGATTCCTGAGGAAAAATTACGCGGAAAATTGCAATTTCCAAATTTTTTTTCGCGAACAACGGTTTTCAAATTATTTTTTTTATAATATGATCACAAATTTTCGCTGCCTAATTATAAAAAATGTGGGAGAAGATACATTTTTAAGTTTATTGGGCGACCAAAAAAAATGGTCATTTTCAATTAATTGATTATATTATCGGAAATTTTAATAAGTTTCAATTTATCAGCATAAACTCGGTCCATTTCACCGCCCTTTATTGTAGGGAAGGAAAATGAGAGATATTTTCTGTTCTAACTACCTAGCCCCAGAAAACAAGTCTTGTGCTGAATTTGGACCAGTCGTTTCTGGAACAGATGAGTAATACAAAAGACCAAAAGAGCCCATTTGCGTTATCATAGGCGGATTTCTCACGTCTTGTCAATTTTTGAATTTACGTGTACAGAAATATAATAGAAAATAGTGCATCCTTCAAGAAATTTGTTAGAAAATAATTGGAAATTTTATCAGTTTCCGCTATCCACTATATCCGCTTTTCAAGAAAAATATTCTATAGGAAGAAATCAACGGGTGTTTAGATTTTTAGAAAACATATCCTGTAGATATTTTTTCCATCGAATCATTCAGCATTCCATATTTCTACTGGAAATTGCAAATTTAATATTTTAATATTTAATAATTTAATATTTTTATTGAAAGCGTCACTTGTTGAATTTACGTGTACAGACATGTAATAGAAAATGATGCATCCTCCAAGAAATTTGTTGGAATCTGATTGGGAATTCTATCAGTTTTCGCTATCCACTACAACAACTTTTTAAGAAAAATATTCTATAGGAAGAAGTCAATGGGTGTTTAGATTTTCATAAAACTTATCCTGTGGATATTTTTTCCATTGAATCATTTAATATTTCTAATGAAAATTGCCAATTTAACTCTCGATCACTCGTGCTCGGGCGCCAGCTTTCATCCGTCGTACGGTAGACGCAGCACCGCTGGGTTAAACCGAACGCGCTGTTGCCACTTTGGCTCTTACCACTACGTGCGCATTTCAAGTGTGGCAGTCAATGTAGCAACACTGTCGCTCGAGTGGTCGCCAGGGACTGACTTGTATTGGGCGGCGCGGTGCCACTTTTCTGTCCGTTTGACGTCTTTTTTTTTTAGCTGAACAAATTTCCCGAGAAAAAACGGATAACGCTGTGACGTTTGAGGTTTTGAAGGGGTTACTCAGACAACCCAAATCAAAGATGAACCCTCGGGTCGGAAACTTGACCCTTCTACTTCCGGCTGGGTCTTGCGATTGGAGCCTAAGAGGAGTCTGCTCAAAATTGGGATGGTTTTGTAGGAAAAAGTCGATAAAAGATCACTTCGGTTAATCAATAATGTTCAGAAAACTGTTTAATGCCTACAAAACAATAGTGTAAAATGGGTTCCGTGTACGCGTGATTAAGTTGTTTGAGTTATTATCAAGAGGGAAAGATCGATTATCCTGTACTTACTTCTAACCGTCATCACCCTTCGTTTTGGAGCGGCAACTCATTGCTAAGCAAAAACGGAAATTAAGCATTCTCACGATTTTTAGAAACTCACACAACCATGCTGCTGTCATTGACAGTTCCCAATACAGTCAAACAGTTTCTGGACGAAAACTGGACTCCAGTGTGAATGTGAAACTGCTTAGATAAATTTTTTTAGTTTCATGAACGGAAATAATGTGAAAACTATTATTTGCTTAAGAATAAAATAATCAACATATAGACTAGGTCCATACTTCACAACGCAAACGCTTAATGAAAGGATTGAACTAGGAACTTTAATTTTTTCAAAAATTTTAAGCCTCGAGAAACATACTAAAATATTTAAAAAACGAAACCGGTGCTCAAACGGCGCTCATTGAGTGAGTGATCGAGGTTAAATATCTTAATATTTAATAATTTAATATTTACTATTTTTATGGAAATTGTCAATTGTTGAATTTACGTGTTCAGAAATCTAATAGAAAATAGTGCATCCTTCAAGGAATTTCTTGGAATCTAATTTGAAATTTTATGAGTTTTCGCTATCCACTATAACAGATTTTCAAGAAAAATATTCCATAGGAAGAAATCAACAGGTTTTTAGATTTTCATAAAAATTATCATGTGGCTATTTTTTCTATCGAATCATTAATCATTCAATATTTCTAATGAAAATTACCCGGAGGAACTGCAGAATGTTCGCTAGAAATCAGAAAAAATCCGTACATGAAATTTCCGACAGAATTCCCTAGCAAATTAGGCAAAAAATATCTATTGGAATTTATCATATTGAAATGTTATACTGATAAGGGTCGAATTAATGGAGGAAAACCATCGAAAGTCTTTCCTGTATTTTTTTAACTTAAAGAACTCGTTTTGAGATTTTTCCTGCACAAAGAAAAAAAGTTTTTAATTTCCAGAACCAAGTGACTGATTTAAAAAAATTCATGATTCTAGAAGGTATTGTACTGAGAATAATAGAACTGGGGGACATCCTTGATTTTCACACATGTACGGACCACTCGCGTTCTTATGCGTAATTATTGTTTTAAATAATAAACTATGATCACTAAACGTCAAATAAACAATTTTAAATTAATTTGAGGCATTGGAATTATTCATTATTAACAATTGAATTATTCAAATCGCCCTAGCACCCAAACTATGAAGTATATCACGTACAAAAATGTTCATGGCCACGGCCATGGTCTTTTGGCCGCTTGCCATGGCCTTTGATCTTTGTGCCCCTGCGGCCCCCTGGGACCTTTAAGGTCATAAGGGCCATAAGGGTCACGAAGTACAACAAGGTTACGAGGGTCAAGAGGGTCACACTCCCTTACTTGATTATTTGATTATAAGTTTTTTTTTTTTCATGGCAATTCTATGGCAACGTCCCTCAGCAGCGCCATGGCAACGTCCTTCAGCAGCCCCATGGAAAAGGCCATGGGCAAGCGTTGCCATGGCCGTGGCCATGAACATTTTTGTACGTGACATATAGATGAAAATTTTCAAATCATGAACCATCTACAATTTAATAAGGAATAATTTTTTCGCCACGGCGGGCGGAAAGGACACATTTTCCTCCCGCTTCGCAACAACAAACAATGCTCACAACAACAACAATACAACAAACAACAATGTTTGACCAATGTCAAACAACAATGCATTGTGAATTGTTGTTTGAACAATGTTTTTATTGTTTAATTGTTTCCCGCTTCGCGGGAGGAAAATCTGCCTTTCCGCCTACGCCGTGGCGAAAAATAACGTTCTCACCACGGGAGGTGAAATAAAGGATCCTTACCCACGTGGTTACCACCCTCGCCTTCGGCTCGGGTGGTAATTCTGCACGTGGGCACGACTCCTTTATTTTCTCTCCCTTGGTGGAAAATATACTATTGTCTAGTATCAATTTTACGTATCTCACGTATAGATTCCGAGATATGAACAATAAACTAGTTACGCGACTCGACATAGCGCTCTCTCCTTACGGCGCGCGGTGGGCTTGAGAGCGCTGTGTTGGGTCACGCAACTCTTTCCATGTTCACATTTCGAAATCTACAGGAGATATGCGAATTTAACAAAAGACAAAAATTATTCCTTATCAAATTCTAAATGATTCGTGATCCGAAAATTTTCGTATATTGTTCATAGTTTGGGCGCTAGGGCGATTTGAACAATTAAATTGTTGATAATAAATAGTTGCAATGCCTAAAGTTGATTGGAAATTATTAACTTGACGTTCCGTAATCATAGTTAATTGTTCAAACAAAGAATTACGTATTAGAACGCGAGTGTTCGGTCGGTCAGTCAATTTAGAAGCGCTTTTTGGGGGTGTCCCGTAGTTCTATAAAACACTAGTTACTTAATTTCAGAAAAAAATCTGAATTCAAGAATGTTCTCAATTTTAAAACCCAGATGTTCGTCACTCAAGAAGTCCAAGGTTGTTACCAGGAGTATTCAAATGGTCAGCATTAGAGTTTTTTTGGCAATATTTAACTTGCGATTTTTTGGGTCAAACCAGACTTGTTTAAAACAAAATTTTTGTTTCTTTCAGTGTGGCTTTGACAAAATTAATTAATTAAAGTTTCTTGTACATGGGCTCTTATAGGATTAATTTTTTAATTAATAAAACAACTACTGGAAGGCTTCAAAAATGAAAAGAAAAATGAAGGGGAATGTGAAGAACGACACTAAATTCAAAGAGAGAGAAAAAATCTGGGGCACAGACAAATAATGAAGATATTGAAAACTTTAAGCCACATATAACCTCATGCCAACGTCTCGATTCGATTCACATTGAATATTTTATTCCTGAATAATTGATTCTGGTTGGTGGATTAATGTTTTGATCAACATGAAGAAGATAAGTCTCTCTAGCAGTTGAAAAAATAAATAGAAATTCTTTCAGTGACTGCAACTTCAGATAATATCCGTAATTCAATGTTATTGAAGAAGTTACGTTTTGGAGCAGGCAATTGATAACTTATAAATCGTTAACCGAACAAATCTCCTCAAACCCAAAAATAATCTTGAATAAAAATTTGCATTTTACCTAATCGTTGTTAAAGTAAAATTTACTAATTTCCCTCGAGAAATTGAACTCACTTGACATCTGTCAAATTCACTCGATTATTCACGAGACATTGTAACACTACTCATGATAACTCTCCACTAATGAGATTCATTATGTAATGATTGGGATTATTTACATTGCTAATGGACGAATTGATAAATGTACTAATGAGAAATGTGTTATCTTCATAAACAATTCACATGCTTCTCAGTCGCTCCTCTCGTACTATTTTGGAGTGTCCAAGTGATGCCTGATGCCTTCAGTGTCAATTCCAGAGGCCGCCACTTGATGAGGAAAGTGAAAACGTGTACATTTACCCCATGTTCCAAGTAAAATGTGGCTCAATTTGTTTAACTAGTTAGAATACTTCGAATTTGTAGACAAATTTTTATGTTTGTGAGTTATATAATCGGTGTTTCTGCGAATTATTCATTGTGTGGGTGGTCAATATGAGTGTGGGGTAAATCGGGTTCTTTTAGTGGAAAATATGGCTGATTATGTTGACGTATCATCTTCTTGATATTTATGGCAATTGTTGAGGATAATTGACCAGGTGAGACCCTTTTAGTATTCCATTATTTATTTTTTTCGTCATTGTTCACTCGGGAAAGGATGATCACTGATTTTCGTAATTATTCAATTGTTTTCACAATGTTTTGGGGATGTTCAATAAGTTTGGTTATATTCACCAATTTCTCACTGTTTCCTTATATAAAAATAATTGAATAATAATTGAAGTTGGTTTTTATTCTTCAAACTTTGCACAATTTTTAGGTCTCTTTGTTTATAACGTGAGCCTTCATTATTTAATTTATAGTTATTTACCAATGTTTTCAATAGATTGCCATATTTTTTGTTTTTGGAATGCTTGAGTTTTTTTTCCAACATGAAACGCACGAAAATGACAAATTTTGGAAACGGAGAATAAAGGGAATGAATGAAAATTTTATGTGAGGAGAAACTCATAAAATTCTAGTATAGAGTTTAAAATTGGGGTCACTAAGAGCACACCTTAGGGTTTCTTTCGAATACCTTATTTATCTACAGATTTCATCAATTTATCTGTGATTTATTGATCTACAGATTGAACAGTCGCTCATATTTGGCTTTCCAAATAAGGAGTACATTATGTTTATAATAGCCACAGCTATTAAAAAAAAATTTAATTAGCTATACTACACAGTTTAGGAGATAATAAACAATGAAATCGCGGGCTTCTAACAAGCGAGGTACAGGCCAGACGGGGTTTATGGGTCCCCCCGGACGCGATTTTTCCATCTCATGAGGAAAGGGTTCTTACGATGTTCTTAAAAAACTAATCCGTGATAGATTGATAAATTCCGAATACGGTGAATTTTTTGTAAAATTTTTTACTACATAGTTTCTGCGATATTCAACTTTAAAAATGGAAATGTAAAAGGATTCCTTATTTGATTCATATAACTAATTAATAACTAATTTCTTATTTCATTCACACTGTTATGGTTGCCTGCATCAACAACATATGAGAAGAGAAAATCTGAATAACTTATGAGAATGCAATAAATTAAGTTATTTAAAAGCTAACCCGGTGGCTTGGCGCAGTGGGTAAGTTCGTTGCCTCACATGCGAAAGGTTCCGAGTTCAAATCCCGACCGGGTAGAATGGTGCGATCTAACCATTTAAAAAGTCTTGATCATCATCGTAGTATACTCTAACCGGGTTGAAGCAATGTAAAATAACGATTAAAAAAAATTTAAAAGTTAAAATTCGGAAATCCATAGGGACTAATTTTTTGGTCCGATTATCTTGGGATATACCTGAAGATAAGCCTTCTCAGGTTTCAAGAATACAAAAGCTTGGACTGGCTGTAAATAAAACTACTGGTTTGATAAGAATACGAAGAATTCAATAAGAGATTGATGGATTCATAAAATGTCACGTTTTAATTATTGCCTTTTCACTCTTTTTATTTTGATCATTGTTTCCATCACTTCTTATTTGATTTATTACTTCAATCATCTGTTTAATTAATTCAAATATCTTTTATACCTTAGACTTTCGAAAAATTAATTTTGCTTCCGAATGGAAGCTTTGTAATCGCTCAAATTTAGGTTTCCAATTTTTTGTGTTAAACAATGAATATCTAATCCTCATAATATTGATTCTGCTTTCATTATTTGTCAACAGTGATGGAATAGTCTTGTACGAATCACCCTTGGGTATTTGAAGGTTTCCTATAATGAAAATTTCTGATTGAATGGCCTAATGGAACTTTAGATTACAGACAAATTTATTGATTATTGCATCTGAAAAAGGTTGTCAAATAATATTCTCAAATTTGTTTCAGGGAGATTCGATCCTTCTTAACGAAAAAACATTCAATTGCAATCATTTTTGCTTCCAAATGGAAGCTTTGTAATCGCCCAAAATTATGTTTCAAATTTTTTGTGTTAGGATAACTAAATATTGTCTACAAAATCCCAATAGGCGATTTTTAGATGGGGTCTGTATGTACACTGAGAACAAAAATAATTTTTGCCAAATATCATTTTGCTTCAGAGAAGTATTTGTTTTTTCAATACCGTATTTCTTCATTCGAGGCATTCTCAGGCAATCCTCATTAGATTTTAATTATGTCAATGATATTGTTACAGAAGATGATCATATTAGTTATGACCTTGAGTGAACTCCTTCAATAATTATCAACATTAAAAAATTAATCGATATTCTTTTCTCTAGAAAATAAGAAATTTAGGCAAAATGAATAATCATTAGAGGAGTGCATCCAAGGTCATGTGCAACATAAACAACTTCTAGAGCAATATGATTGTTATAATTGAAACCTAATCAGGTTCGCCTGGGCATGATTAGGTTTCAATTATAACGATTCGATTACATCGATTGAAGAAATACACTTTTAAAAGAAATAAATGCTTCTCTCAAGTAAATGAATATTTGGAAAAAACAATTTTTTCTTTTAGTGTCTATATGTATGAATGTACGTATAAATGTGTGTATATACGTGGTATTTTTTCTTCATTTTTTTTCACGAAATTTTCTTATAAGGGATCAATCGAATTTCATGAATTTTTTCATGGATATGGATTTTAGTAAGCACTATTCATTGCCACCAATTGAGATTCAATTTTTCATACAGATTCGAAAAAACATGATATTTGTCCAAAAATCGATCACTCAGAAAAGTATATTTCAATGCCTTCTTAATCAAGTTGAAAAATAGTGAGAACAGCATCATTGCTTATCATGTTACACAAAACCTGAGCTTTTTATATCAAAATCTCTATCTCTTTTAAACTCAGGTACCAGTCTATTATGTTGAATACTTATTCATATTGAGGCATAGTCCCGACTAAGTTCTGACCGAACCTGGGTTAACTTCTGGCTAAATCATGAATAAATCCCGATTAAATCCCTGCTATGTACTGATTAAACTGTGATAGAATAAAATAATATGCAAAATTGTTATCATATTTCAATTGATAATACCCAGAAAACAATTTTTGCCAGTGCCATCCAAAATTTAACAGTACAAAATGCTAATTTATCAGCAATAATAATTATACTCATTTATTAAAAAATGCAATTATTCCACTTGTTTCACCTAACAATCCACAAGATGACGAATTTTGTTGAGAAAAAAATTATAAGGCGCAATGTTTTCACGAATAAAAATATTGATAACACTAAACTACAACGAAAAAACCGAAATTCCGTGGAGGAATCCTAGCAAAATTTGAGTTCACATGACACAATATCAATTATTAATAATTTTGCTGATTGGTAATGATCGATGTTTCAGTCAAGGATTTTTATGTCGTTCAATTAAAAATTATGTAAGGGAAAGTGGGGTAAAATGAAACATAGGGCAAAATGAAATAGTCGAAAAACGCCTGTTTGACGCAATTCAAGCAAAAAACAATTTTTTTTATTTTTTTCAATTAGTTTTTGTTTATTAACTTTCTTTCATTTTTGGGAGTACTGATGAGAATAATAATTTTCAATTCAGTAAAATGGAAACTTATTGAGAAGTTTTGACGGGAGGAGATTTTGCCAATGGATTAATTGAAAAGAAAAAGAAATAGTAAGATTTAAAGTCCAGAGCAAGGCCCAGCTGATGACCCAGAGGGGGAAAAACGAAAATGTGATGCTGCATTTCAATCGAATGAAAAAAGAAAAGTGTAATCGGCCTAATCTAATCAATTGAATTATAACCCATTGAATTATAAGACGAATAGAAATTGATTATCTTCATCAGTACTCCCAATAATAAAAAAAGTGAATAAACAAAAGTTGATAAGAAAAATTTTTTTTGCTTGGAGTGGGTCAAATAGTCGTTTTAGGGCTGTTTCATTTTGCCGCACTCTCCCCTAATTGTTGGTTGAAAAATGTTTTACTTTCATCCCGGAGTAAATATTGATGATTTAGTTTAGTTTTTTCTTCCATGAACCTCTCACAAAAAAGATTTTCCGTTATTTCTTTTCGAAACCGATCACTTCCTGGATAATCACCTAATCAACAATGATAATCACTTCACCATTAAATTATCTGCAATTAAAATTCATCACTTCATTTTATTTGAATTGAATCTTCTTAATAAATAAATAACCTTCTCCTTCAACTACCTCAGACCTTCAGACACTCAGAACTTAAAACACTGAAAAAATGGAATTTCCATAGGAGTATGCTAATGCAATTTACCCCACTCATCTTCTATCCAATTAGTTGGCGAAACTAGGGAACAGTCGGACAATCCCAGTCATCAGCGTTAAACATCACTGCCACTAAATTTAACTGATACATTTATTCATGTTACTTACAAGTTAATAATCTAATAAAACCCATCGACAGTATTTACAATTCCATGTGTCTAAAACCGTAAATCACCGTCAATAATAATGAATTGGTTTTTACTTATCACGTTAGCACACGTTGCGATGTCGGGTGGCGCCGAAGAGCCTCCTGGACTGTCTGAGGACACTGCATCCGATGCAATCGGTGCATCCAATCTCCAGGAACAGGATAAATCGGAACTCGTCAGTTACAAAGACATTATGATGAAGAATAAAGTTGATTTGAAGAAGAAAGAGGAGGAAGTCCAGGTAATTATTTTATTTCTATTCGTGATATTTTTATTAGGCTCGAGGTCACTTCGTTGAGGAGATGAGGCCAATTATTGATTAACAATTCCTCAACATCAACACAGAGAACATTAAGACAATTTCTTTCTAATGTGAAAGAGTAGAAAACGTGAGTTTGTGAGAACATCTTGGAGGATCTTTTTCGTAGACAAAAGTGAGAGTTACTAAATTAATGTCTATGAAAATTCAACAACCTTCTTTTAATCTGGTGATATTCCCACAAATTAAACTGTTGAGAATTTCTGTTGAATTTTTAGAATTTTTAGAATGAGTAGAATAGAATAGAATAGAATACTGATAGAATACCGATAATCTGGACGAATTAAATTTTTGATTTTTTCTCGAAAACAATAGATCCATCTTAGAAAATTCTGAGTAATTTTTTTTTTTTTCATAATAGAATTATACTGCAATATCACATATTTGGCATGAATATTTTTCTGTTATTTTTTCTCTGGGAATCGCAGCCAATAGAATTGTTTACGGATATTTCCTGATGGCAAGGGTGAAGGGAAATATTTATGTGGGAACCCTCTAGATTGCTTCAGTTTAGGTAGAATGCAACGATTCTATGGTCGCAATTCTACAGGCAAAAATAATCATATTGAATTGTTTAAGAATTAAGAAATTCATCTGCGATAATTTTTTAAGGATATCCAAGCATCTTTCAGAGTTTGATACAGACCACACTATAGATTCAACCATTTTCAATCATCAAACTTGTCAATTAAGATGCGTGAGAAAAATTTGAAAAGAATTATGAATATTCAGCGTCATTTAAATTACATTTTTTCTAGAATTATTATTATTTTTAACATTCATTGTTTATAAATAAATAATTGGAATTGTTTAAACTTTCGGAAACATTATTTTTTAGGCATGAAATCGCTTTCTGGTAAAATTTTAAATATGAATAAATTTGTTACGATTCCGAACAAATGATTTTTATGGTGAAAAATTGATTGTTTGGTATGTGTTTATAAAAAATGCTCGCAATTTTCAAAAATTGCAATTTTTTAATAGTTTTGTGACGTTTTGAGTTAGATCACCCACCGCATTAATCCTGGATGATCTAACATGTGACTAGTCCCTGAAACTAGTCACAAATAGAATAGTATATTACGCAACAAGTGCGTAATGGGTTTTTTGGCTCGTGGGAAGTTGTAAAACGAGCCGAAGGCGAGTTTTACAATCCCACGAGTCAAAAAACATCATAACGCACGAGTTTCGTATACTATTTTATGTCATAGGGCCCAGAATCCGCGATTCTACCGAGCGAAGCGAGGTTAGAATCGCGTGATTCTGGGCACCTATGACATAAATAAGCTTTTCTTTCCTAGGGCCGTCGTACCCTATGTTGACCGGCTAACTGTCGCGTGGGATTCACTCAAGTTGGGAATGATAAGGGAATCGGAAGGTATTGTAGCGAAGAGAAATACACGATTAACTGGTAAAAGTATGGTATATTTAACTCAACTACTAACTACGATACACGACAGTGTTATTGATGGGTTCGGTAAACGCGTTATTAATATTTGAAGGAGCTGGGGTGACCGTCTAGCTTCACTCCCGATCGTACTCTGCCCTATTCCAGAGTCTTTGTAAAATGCTCAAAACCTAAAATTGCAGAGCAAGCAGTCTCACGGTCCCGAAACACTAAGACAATTAAGTGCCATCATTGACACACAACTAGAACAGTTAAACAGCTTCTTTACCGAGAAGCTGGACTCAGATGGCACCGTGAGAGTGCTGAGCTCTGCTCCTGCACGATGAGAAAGAAATCATATTTCTTTTCTCATCGTCCCACATTATAAATTTAATGTAACGTATTATTCATAATACGTCACATTGTATTCAACAAATAACCGACGTATTAATGACAATACGTCACACTCCCCTAATTAAACTATTGTTACCCTAGACAACATCTAGGTCACAATAGTAATCAAATCAAAAGACATCACACATGTCTGTGCCTTATGGGCCTCATCTTATGCCTGAAGAGCTATCAAAACCAAATCCCATGCTTGAGGAGCACTTATCCTGGATAGGTTTCCCAAGTAGAGTGCAAGTAAGTTGCACGGACTTAAATAGCCTATTTAAATTCCTTTTTGTGAAAGGAAAAATTGATAAAGGTAACCCTGATCAACCGAACCTTTACAAAAATTTTGTTTTCATACAAAAAGTTACAAATTATCGGGCCCAATATCAGGCGATAGATTATAATGCATCCCTCTCTCTAATACACATTCTCTTCTCTGACCTGGTATGTGTAAATTGTAATTTTTCAGAGTCCATTCCAATCATGCAGCTGAACTCTACATATTTCCGGTTCCCAATGAAATTAGCTCTATTGCTTCCAAGAGATTCTGGTCCATGAAACGAAATGGAATCTATTTCTACGATTATCCAAAAGAAAAAGGAAAATATCCATTTATATTTGTCTGATCCTTCAATCAATACACCCGGACTCGTGTTCCCAAAACTGATAATTCATTCAAAAACGTAGAAACCATTTAGCTCATTCAATAATTTGATTCTACAAATCTTCCTGTTTTCCAGAGAAATGCTAAATAAAAATGTTGAAGAGGAATCTCTTCCTATTTGAACTCTTTTGACCGCATGACATAATAATATACGAAAGAGACTGAACTATACATATTTTCTTTTTTTTTTTTGTTCCTGAGGACCTCCAGCTGTGTACGTTCCATTTGTGATTATGAATACTGAAATATTCCATCCTTTTTAGAGCGGAAGGCAAGATAATTTAAGTTATGAATTTTTTCTACTTATCATTTTTGATACAGTATCCCTCCCCCACTAGGCCAGAAATTTCTCTCCTGAGTAATCGGATGTGGAGAGTCTCCAGCACTTTGAATTCTTCCCCACAGATCCGTCGTTGTCTCGTTCCTTCTCGCCGATTTTGATGAGAGTCACCTGGATGACTTTCCTGTACTGTCGCTGGTTCGTTATCGGTCAGCTGATGAAAATGATCTCCTGCGATCATGTAGCCGGGCGTCGTCCTCTGAGAACCTTGACACTTCGTTGGTCTCGGAGATTCACCGTCCTCAATCCATATGACCGATATACTGTCATCTCATTGAGAGTAAGAATCGGATGAAGGACGTACATCAGCTGTTGGTTTGGCTGCACTTCGGTCAATTGGTGCTGATATTCCTCCAGGATCAAATGACCAACGCGTTATCGGCCAGTGGTCGGCACTCGCCACACTTCCAAAGATTGCATTCTCCGGATCGGATTTCACTGTCTGCTGAAGTTCTTTTCTAAATGACAAGGTTACAATAGTACAGTTCATTCCCAATGTCGAGATTTTGTCCTTTTGTGCGTAGAGAAATTTCAACACTATTGGTTTGTCACTATTGATCACTTTATCTTCTCCTTCCGTTTCACTGTTCATATTGGGAACTGCATCTCCCCCTATTTTTCCATTGCACTCAACCATTTCCTCACTGCCTCGAGGTCTCGATTCTCTTGCTTCGGTGTCGGCCACATGGAGGTCAGCTGACGGCGATGCGTCACCTGGGTCAGGTTGCCAGCGCCTTATCTCTGCGTTGCCTCGCTCCGCTACTTCTGCAAGTTGTTCATAGCGATCATCTAATGAAGATACTCTTTCTCCACTTATTCCGAAATTGATGGTCGGAATAGTTGATAGTGGTGAGGGTTTTTCACTCAATCCGAAAGGTGAATCAGGTGGGGCCTGTCGATCGACTATAGCTTCGACAGCTGAGACATCAACTGATGCTCGCATTCCTCCTGGATCGAGTAACTGATGCCTTGTCTCCGAACCTTCCTCGTCTCCATAGAATAGTGCAGGTCCACTAACATAAATATCCGAATATTTTTCAACCATGTCTTCTGCAATTTTATCGTATTTGGATGTCTGCAGCACCGGTTTCTCGACAATCTTTGTGAGATATTGTTGCCAGCGTCGCCCATAAATTTGATCCCAATGGTCGGTCATTATTGCACCTTGCATTATTCGAACTGGAGGGTTGACCTTGTTGATTTGTTCTGTTGGAGTCCCAGACTCCCAAGATGTAGATGTATTTCTAATGATTGAACCTGCATATGGCGGATATTCTGGAGCTTTTGCAGTATCCCATGGTGTGTACGTCATGCCATACTCTTCAGAAGTACTCAACCTATCTGATGTCATGCTCCGACCTTGTCGGAACTCTTGATCATCCCTCATGACGGTTGAGGAGAAGTACGATGATGTCCAATTCCCATAGCTGGTGAAAACATTCGATTCCATGGCAATCGTTGTGGAATGTGATTTTTTTTTATGTCATCAAAACTCTTGGATCGCTGCTGTAGCGTCCCTTGTCGACAGAATATTTCTGTCGTATCCCTGGGTTAGCGACTTTTCTTCAGTCGCGTACTGGATCGAGCTCTACCTTTGCTGATCCAATACCCCGTGTCTCTGGAATCCTTATTCCAGATGATGACCCTCGATACTTCAACAAAGTCACTGAGGACTTCCGATATGTAAAATCACTAATTCCAGATTATTCCACAGCAATGTCGGATTCACCAGTATCCGGTTCTCGGACTCTTTCGTGCATTATACCGAACCCACTTCATTTTTCCCGATAATCCTTCAGTTCCCACCGCACGTCACATAAAAATTTTCACAAAACTTTAATTCTCGCACTCCATTCCTCGAAATGAGTGCCAACTAGTCGGGCGCCAATGTGACGTTTTGAGTTAGATCACCCATCGCATTAATCCTGGGTGATCTAACATGTGACTAGTCCCTGGGACTAGTCACAAATAGAAATAAGCTTTCCTTTCCTAGGGCCGTCGTACCCTTTGTTGACCGGCTAACTGTCGCGTGGGATTCACTCAAGTTGGGAATGATAAGGGAATTGGAAGGTATTGTAGCGAAGATAAATACACGATTAACTGGTAAAAGTATGGTATATTTAACTCAACTACTAACTACAATACACGACAGTGTTATTGATGGGTTCGGCAAACGCGTTATTAATATTTGAAGGAGCTGGGATGACCGTCCAGCTTCACTCCCGATCGTACTCTGCCCTATTCCAGAGTCTTTGTAAAATGCTCAAAACCCAGAATTGCAGAGCAAGCAGTCTCACGGTCCCGAAACACTAAGACAATTAAGTGTCATCATTGACATACAACTGGAACAGTCAAACAGCTTCTTTACCGAGAAGCTGGACTCAGATGGCACCGTGAGAGTGCTGAGCTCTGCTCCTGCACGATGAGAAAGAAAGCATATTTATTTTCTCATCGTCCCACATTATAAATTTAATGTAACGTATTATTCATAATACGTCACATTGTATTCAACAAATAACCGACGTATTAATGACAATACGTCACAGTTTCATCAATCTTCCTCCAAAAGTAAACTTTCTATTTTTTAGTTTTTTTCTAACAGTTCAATATCGAGATTCAAATTCAGACCTGCGAAATTTAAATAATAAAATCATTGTAAAATATTCGGAAACTTAGGATCAAATGAGGCTAAAATGAAAGCTTTGACCTTTGACTATAAAAGTAGAAAAGCATTTCACTGAAAAAAAAAAGCCAAAGTACTTGGATATCCTTAACAGCGCATGACTGTGAAAACATTTCAGTTTTCCTGAAACATTGGCCATAAATATTCAACGTAAATTTAAAAAATTCATAAATGTTTTGAATTTTGAAAAGCTTTGGAAATTTTAGTAGAAAGTTCTTACCAGTGTAATCTCAGAGAAGAATTCATTTATTCAAACCCCCAATTCTCTATTCATCCAAATCTCCGAAAGTACTATAGCGAGCTCAACTTCTCAATTCTACTTCCAGGAGTACGTCAACAAATTATCAAAAATAAAATCTCGAACGAAATTATCACGACGCAGCACAGACCCTTCTACGTCCCTCGAGTCTTCAAAACTCGATTCATCCCTCCCGAAGCTAGAAGATGAAGACGAGGTCAACGACATCAGCGAGGCGAAGACCCCAAAGGCAAAGTCTCACCTGCTCCAGAAGAAACTAGCCGAGAATCGAAAAATATTCGAGCAACGAAGTAAGGAGATAACCGAGTCTAATCGAGCGGTGGAAGAAAAAGTCGAGGAGATAAGAAAACAGATAAACGAGACTGAGTTGCAAAAGGACATTTACATCCCCGTCTCCATCACTCCCATCTCCCTCTTGCCTCAGCCTTCCGGAAAGGATCCTCATCAACTTCAAGAGAAAGACAACAAAATAGAAGAACTAAACATGAAAATCCACGAGTTAGAAGCAATAATAATCGACCTGCAGGATAATCTCAAGGAGAAAGATTCTGTCATTGATTCGAAGATGAAAGCAGTGACTTTAATGTCTGAAGATCTCTCGAAAAAAGGTAAAACTACATTGGATACTTTAGAAGAAACTAAGGACGAGATGAGAACGATGCAGCAGAATTTCGTGCTGATGGAGACATCTTTTAAGGACAAACACGAACACTTGTTGGAGCAATTGAAGGAGAAGTCTAATCGAGTCATTGAGCTTGAAGAAACGTTGGATAAGATGGAAAACGAGAGGAAGATGGCGATTGATCGGACTGATCAGTGTCCCTCGTCAGACGAAATGGTGGGGGAGATGAAGAGAGAAATGACAGCGATGCAGGAAAATTTTATTCTCATCGAGACGGGTCTGAAGGATAAAGTGAATAACTTAATCCTTCAGCTTGGCGAACGTGATATGAGACTGGCAGAAGTCGACGGCTCTTCGTCGAATGAACGAACGAATGATAGTATAGACGAGATCAATAGATTAGAAGAGAGCAATCGAGTGCTTCGGGAGGAGAACGAGAAGTTAACAAAAACTGTTGAGAATGTGAAAATTCAGAACGAGCTGAACCAGGAGAAGGATAATAGGATTACGGAGTTGGAGGGAATTGTTGAGGAACTTAGGAAGACTCCTGACGAGAGTGAGGCTGTGCAGAAGCTGAAGAAGGAGCTGGAGGAGTTGAATAAGAATATGATTAAGCTGAAAGCACAGCATAAGAGCAAGCTCAGGAATCTTAACAAGCGACTAGAAAACTTTAAAATGGTTGGATATTTGCTAGACTATGATTTTTAATGAGGAGATGTGTGAACACTCAACTTTTCGCATTTTAGAGTCAATCTTTTACTTCCAATTTTTGGGGAAAAAACATGCTTGTAACATTTCAACTCATTTCCTCATTTTAATACTTCATGCTAGTTTTTTTCTCACGACTGACGTTTAACATTGTTTTAAATTAGGTCTCTGATGCTAATGCTGAATTGGTAAAGCTTGGAAATCAAGTTGCACTTTTGGAGGAGGAGAAAGGTAACCTACAGCTGAGTCTAGTAGACTTTGACGAACTTAAAGGTAGGAATCATGGGGAAAAGTAAAAAATTTTCTAAAATATTTTAATTGAGGATTTCTGGCAAAATAATTCAATGGTGATGGTGTACAAATTATTTAACGTTTTTAATTGAAAAATTGAACATGATGCCTACTGATATTGGTCAAAGATTACCTCACTCAAATGTCAATTGGATATTCAGGATAATGTGTTGGTGGTGAAGTGGTAAAACGAATTCGCACATTATTTCGTAAGTGTCCTCGATATGGAGAACTTCATGAAAGGAATCCTGACGATGTTTGCAGAATAACGTGTATGAAACATTTGGATGTGGTTTGTTTTACCACTTTCCTACAGAAATAATATCACTAATTTATGTGGGAATCCTTTCGTCGATGTAAATTGGATCTTCAATTTTGTGCAGCGTGGTCAGTTGAATTGCAGACTCGTATCGGTGAACTAGAGAGCAAAGTTGAGGCTCAAACTGGTGTTATTCAGGCACATGTTGATGCTATTGCTACCTTGGAGAATCAGAAACTGGATCTTATGCAAGGTAATTTTTACTTGATCAGAAACTTTTCGCAAGGAAACAAGTAGTAGTACGTATTGTTCAGGATTTGAGTCATACTTAACTCTAGCTAAAAGACTGTACACCAGAGAGATTATTCAAACGAAAAAAAAATGATACATTAAATTTACTCATACAGTATTGAGTGTTTAACTCCAAAATATAATTGGAAATTAATTTGAATAAATGCAAAAAGACCTTTTTTGTAACTTGCGAGATTTTTCACCAAAAGGTCTTTTATCATTCACCAAATCTGCCAGCTCAGAAGATATTTATAAAAAAATTTGTGTATAGCCTGTGAAATCGTCGACATTAACCTTAAAACAACGATTTTCTAGTACTTTGTGCAATTATTGCTTCAAATTTATTCATGCCATAAGAAGAAAGCAAGCAGGATTGCGAGTACTTTATGCGTTATTAGTCTTTTTTTTATTTCTCTCTCTACCAATTCCATTGGTAATAAGCTTTCGAATGGATCTGTAGCAGTGGTTCTAGGATAAATGCACCTCTGAAAATTGTTCTTTGCATCATTTTTTAATCTCAGTTCCAGAACTCTTTTGATGGAACGATAAAGATTTTTTGTGCTATTATAATAATTTTAGTCATCATCGTTTCAATTGAAATAAAATTAATGACACTCCAGGCCATTCCACTGTAAACGCTAATGTTCATTATTTTCGTTGAATTTCAGAGCTTCACAACGTAAAACAAGAAATTTCTGCCCTCGAAGCCGAGAACGCAGACTGTGAGAACCTTCGAGTAACCGCTGAGCTCAAAGTTGTTGAGTTGGAAGACCAACTAGAGTCACTAAACCGCGCCAAACCCCAGAGCACCTCCACTACCTCCCTTCACAACGATGAATCCAACGATAATAAACAACCAGCTGTCGACTCTTTCGAGTCCATCGAAGAGAACCGAAACGAACTTCTGAAACAAGTTGACTTACTAACTCAGCAAAACCAAAACCTGGAGATGCAGCTGCGAGAGTTCAGACAGAGGGATCCAGCAGTCGAGAAGAAATCCTCGGACACAGACTCCACCGAGTCTTTCGAGAGAATTTCAGATAACAACGATGGATCCACCAAGATGGATGCTCTGATTATTTCAGAGGAGAAACTATCAGAACCCCAAGAACACCTAACAGATCTTCACCAGAAAATGGAACATCTCGTTCAAGAGAATAACGATTTGGTGATAGAATTAACAAAACTCCAGGAAAAAGTGAGCCATCAAACCGAAGATTATAAAACAAGATTGACAACCCTCGAACTCCAAAATTCAAAATTGAAGCAGAATCTGACGAATCTCTGCAACGAGACAGCTTTGATGTCTCTGGCAACAGAGATCTCAAATTGTAAGCAAGCAACCGAGCAACAACTACAACTCATAGAGAACTTGGAGATGACTCTTCTCCAAAGTAATCAACAACTATCCGAAAAACGGGAAGAAATAACAGAGTGTCAGCAATTGATCAAGAACCTATCATCAATTCAATCCAAATTCACTGAAATGGAGGAGAAAATCGAACACTTGAACATTGAGAAGTCCTCGATTGCTGAGAAATTCCAATTGTCATCAATCGAAATTTCAGAATTATCCCAGAAGTCGAAAGAACTGGAAAACACGAGCATCGAGAAGATTAACAATCTACAGTCTCAATTATCTGACCAAAGCTCTGAGATACTTTCTCTAAAAGAAGTCATCACCACCAACGAAAAAATCCTGGAAGAAGTAAAACACGAAAACAATGAATTGAAAATCACAATTGATTCCCTGCAAAAAGAAAAATCGTGGATGGAAGATGAAAACACCCATTTAAATAATCAATTACAGCTCAAAGAAGATTCCATATCTGCTCTCGAGGGAGAGTTTAAAACAACAGTCTCCATCATCGAAGACAGGCTGAAAGATAAAGAAGTGATGCTAATGTCTTCAGAAAGTCAAATTCCAATATTACAGAATGAATTAGAAGAGAAAGACAAGAGTATCGAAGAGTTTGAGAAGAAAATAGAATGGTTGGAGGCACTGTTGCAGGCCAAGGAGGTGACACTTGCAGAAGAAAAGGAGAGGATGACTGCTGAATTCGACAGCAACGTGACATCTTTGGAGAAAGTGCTAGAGAATAAAACGTCTCTTGTTGCTTCTTTACAAACAGAAATTCAATCGTTATTGGAAACACTGAAGAACAACGAAGTAACGATAATTACGCTGCAGGGTGAGATAAATTCTCTGCATTCTGCCTTAGCAGAGAGAGAAATTTCTGCAGTTTCTCTTGCTGAAGAGACCAATGCCTGTCAAGAGTCTCTCATGGAGAAAGAGAGTCTTTACCAGTCATGCTCATCGACATTAGCTTCAGATAAATCAGAATCAGAAGTTGCAAATATTGAGATCCAGCAGAAATTGATAGATCTTCAATCCCAAGTGGAGAATTCCAATTCAATTATCAAAAAATTAAAAGAGGAAATTGAGAATATTACGAGCGCTAAGATTGGCTTGGAACAGGAGGCTGAGCAAATACGATTAGGCAAATCATCACTTGAGATATCTACCACAGCATTGTCTTATGAATTAGAATTATTGAAGATTGAAGTGAACATGAAACATCAGGAGAATGATCAACTCAAAGTGATGATTGACGAATTGAAAACTCGATCAGATTCGATGGATAAAGAATTGAAGGAGAAGTATAATGAATTGGAGCATAACAAAGCCGAAATTAATGATAAAGAATCAATTATTATAAATATGAGAGAAGAAGTCACTAGATTAAATGAAGTCATCGCGGAAAAGGAGAATAGTTGTACAGCTCTTGAAGCGGAAATAATGGGATTGCAGCAGCAATTGAGAGAAAAAGCGACCTTTACAGATAAAATTGAAGAGTTGACTCAAATAATAACAGAAAAGGAAGAAACGATCAACAGATTAGAGTCTGTCGTCACTGAGCTTAATGAGAAACTCTGTGAAACGAGCACTAGAGTTAATGAATTCGGACAAACATTACGCGAGAAAGAATCAATCCTCTTAACTTTACTAGAAGAAAAAGAAAGTTTAATCCAACAAATTGCGGCTGAAACTTCAGCTAAAGAGGAAGCATTAGCATCAATTGCATCCCTAAATCGTCAGCTAGAGAATCAAACGTCATACATCGAGGAAATAAGAGCTGAACTGAGTGATGCTTACAGAATGATGGAACAATTGAAGCTGAAACATATGGAGGACATCGGAATGCAGAATCAAAGGCTAGAAGAAATAATCCTTGAATTGAATGACAAAACGAGTCAATGTAGTCAATTGACTTCTATTCTAGAAGAGAAAGAAAGAATCATTGGGGAAAACGTGACACTGGAGATTAAGACATCCTTAGAACAACGAATTATTCAGTTGGAAAAAGAATTAGAAGATGTCAATGCAACCAGTCAAGCGCAATTGCAGAAAATGAAAGTGATTGCTGCAAATCTTAAGAAGAAAACAGCCCAGTGTCAAGAGCTGGAAGCGAAGGCTCACGATTTCGAAGAGAAATGGACGAATGAAAAATCAGAGAAGGAAGAAATCAATATTAGACTCCAGCAGGTGCAATCGGACGTGGAAATGAAGATAAATAAAATGAAAGAATTGGAACAACAGTTGATTGATTCCTACGAGGGTACGACGAATGCATCTGAAACGATTCAGAGATTATCGGACGAATTGAACACAGCTAATGACACAATATCCAGTCTTCACGATCGTGTGAAAGTTCTACAATTGGAAACAGAAAGACTGTCAGCTGAAATCGATGAAAAATCTAAATCAATCGAGAGTGAAAAGCTGATGAGAGATTCTATAACTGCAGAGTTCGAATCTTACAAACAGATCACTGAATCGGATTTGAATTCTTCTAACGAGAAAATTATGCTTTTGAATGAACAAATTATGGAGAAAAAGGAAGAATTCAAAAACTTGGAAGAAACCAATACGTTAAATCAACGGATGACATCGGAGACTATTGAACTATTGAAAACACAATTGAGTCAATTAGAAGAGACGTTGAACTCCATGAAAGATCAAATTGAATTTTTAGCTGCAGAAGTCGAGAATAAATCTTCAGAAATATCTTCCAAAGATCAACAAATTGGAGTATTAACCCTCGAAATTGACGATAAAAACAATCAGATCTCATCCCTGACCATCGACATTGACCAGAAGATCCAAGAGATCGATTCCTTAACATCAGAAATTGAATCTGAAAAATTATCTAAAGACTCAATCACCTCCGAACTCGAAGCTCTCAAGACCCTGAAGACAACCCTGGAGCAAGAACTAGAAGAAGCCAAAGAGAAAGCTCGTGAACTAGGAGTTAGAATGCAAGTGATGGAGACTGAATACGTCGACCAATTGAACACTATCCAAACCCTGAGAACAGAAAATGGAATGTTGTCTTCCAAGCACGCACAAACGCACGAGCGCCTGGAGAACACAGAGGCAGAATCCACCGAACGACTGCGAGTCATTGAATCCTTGAAAAATGAGATAATCGAGCTGAAAAATGCCCAGCCATCCTCTCACCCCCCGGACTCCTGCGACCACTGCGAGAGATGCCAGGGACTGGTGAATGCATTGGAAGGAAAACTACAAGAGCGAAATGCTGAGATTCAGAACCTAGACAACGAATTGGCGAATTCCATCGCAAATTTCTTACAAATGCGAGAGAATCTGAGGACTCAAGAAATGCAGTGTAACGAAGAGTCTCAGGAAGCTAGAAAATCATTGGCTCAATTCAATAACTTATTAGCGAGAAATTCAGATAATGAATTGAGAATTCAGCAATTGCACGAGCAGATAATTAATTTGAACGATAGAAATTGTGCTCTCGATGAAGAACTGATAAAAACTCGAGAAATTGCAGCTTTGGCCCAACACTTCGAGCAACTCCACCTGAATTTATCCCAGATTCATCAAGAAAAGGAGAAAGAACTCGAAGAATTGAATGCAAAATTCCAAGAATTGCAGATTGAGAAGGATGATTTATCCGAGAAACTCGACAATTTGAAGTTGGAGAGGACAACAGTTGAGAAGCTGGAGAATATAGTTCCTGAGAGGATTGAGCAAGTCCCTCCAGCCCCTAAATTATTCGACGCTGCCAAACTCTTCACTGCCCCAGCTCCTTGGGACGTAGACAGCTCCATTGAAGACACTTCATCCCTCAAAAAAAGACTTGAAGACATCGAGATCGAGAAAAGTCAATTGTCCTCTCAACTTAATCAATTGACCACCGAAATCTCTTCATATCAGCTAGAAATTAGACAACTCAGAGAGAAGAATGAAGAATTAGCGCAGTTATCTTCCGAAGCAGAAGGAATAAAATCGATTGTGAGAGATTTCGAGCAACAGGTTCAACTTCTGAGTGAGGAGAACAATCAGCTGCGAGCTGAGCTGCTTCAGCGCCAGGAGTTCATCGCGAGACCCGTTGAGGACTTGAGAATATCTCAAGACTCCACTGATGCAATGATTGAGACTCTGAAGAGGGAGAAGGACGACTTGCAGAATACGATTGTTCATTTCATCACCAATGCAAAACGACTGATTGAAGATGGAGGAAACTCTGAAGAGTTCAGCATAAATGATTACGTTACGGAATTGACTGCAATCATATCGACAATTCGATCGTTGCAGCAGAGGATAATTGATTTGAATTCAACTTCAGTACTTCAATCTCAAGAGAATAAAGAAGAAGTGTCCGAGGAGATGAGGGTTGAGTATTCTTTAGGATTGTCAGCACCTCCACTTAATGATGAGGAGATTAAGCTCGACGATGAAGAGGAGTGGGGCTGGAACGCCCAGGATGCGGAGTTGGGCTCTGGATTAGCACTGGCTCCGATCTGCACTGGAGAAACTCAACTCAAGGCTAGGATAGCTGAATTGGGAGACACAATTAAAGACTTGGAGGACGAAAAACTCAAGTTGACTGAGGAAATTAAAGTGGGACAGATTCGAAGTGGGAAGTTGGTGAAAAAACTAAAGCAATTCAAGGCCCAGAATGAAAATCTTCAGAAACAGTTGAAGCTGCAGAAATCCTCGGGTAGCTTGTGCGACCTCGACTCGGCGATTGAAGACGAACTCAAGTCCCAGATCTCCCAATTAGAAAAGAACTTGAGTGAAGTTAAATCAGATCACAACAAAATCATTCAAGAACGAGACAATCTGTTGAAACGAATTGACGTTCTGATTGCTGCCAATGAAAGGTTCACAGAGATGAAGGAACGTCAGGATCGTGAAGTCGAAGTTCTTCAAATCCGGAATAAGGAGTTGGCGAGTAAGATCGGAGGAGTTGAGAGAGATATTGGGGAGGTATCTACATCTCTTGAAACGTGTGAAACTGAAAAATCAACGATCGAAAAGGTCTCGAAAGAGCAATACGACGAGCTCCAGGAATCCTTGGAGATGTTGGCAACTGAGAATGAACAGCTGAGGACATTAATCGAAGCTGAGAAGAGTGAGAGGCTTGCAATTGAGATTTCCTTGAGCGAAAGGATGAGAGAGATTGAAAAGTCTAAGAATCAGACTGACGAGATGAAGATCGGGTTCGATGAAACCCTGAAGAAATGTCAGAATTTGGAGACGGAATGCAGGACTAATTTGGAGATTGCCAATCAAAGGAGGATTGAGGTGGAGAATAATCATGAGATTGTGCTTGGCCAGGCGTTGCAGCGTTCACAAGAGCTGGAGAGTGAAATAGCTGAACGAAACGAAAGAATCAGACTGTTAGAAGAGAGTCTGAATGCCTCTGAGCATCAGCTCAACGACGCGCAAGAGACTCTGTCCAATGTTACCGAACTATTGAACGTCAGGGTTCAAGAAGTTGCGGAATTGCGACAACAGATCCAGCAATTACAAGGTGCAAAGATTGAAGCAGCAACTTGTCGTGTTAACGTAGATAATTTAAACAAGAAATTGATGGAAACGGAGGAAGACATGTCGCGAAAACTGACTGAACAGGAAGAGGATTTATCTCGCAAGTTGACACAGAGAGAAGAAGACTTGACGCGTAAATTAACTGAACGAGAAGAAGACTTGACCCGTCAATTGACCGAAGCTGAAGAAGATTTGTCGAGACAATTATCTCATAAAGAAGCAGAAATGAAGGAATTGTCAGCGAAACTGCAGGCGACATTGCAGGAGAAAACTGAAGAAATTGATTCTCTATCTTCTAAAATTCAAGAACTCTCGTCAGACCGTGACACATTGCGTTCTACTATTGAAAATCAGAATCAAGAACTCCAGTTGTTGAAAGAATCATTGGATAAGAATGAATGGCTGGTGGAAGCCCTCAAAACTGAATCTAACGTAAAAAAGGAGACAGTTTCCACTCTAGAAAACGATTTGTCTTCTTCTAGAGAAGAAATAATACGTCTGACAACATCAATCACCACTTTGACATCAGAAATAGATCAAAGGCATCAGGAGCTCTCTTCAAAAGAAAACGAAATCGAGTCCCTGAAGGGAATTGTGACTAATCTGCAAGCAAAATTAGAAGAGCGAAATTGTGAAATCTGTCCTAAATGTAAAGAAAACGAGGGGATTCTCTCGGAAATAGAACTTTTGAAGGAGCAATTGAGGCTTAAAGAAGCGGAAGTTGAGGATTTAAAGTACATCTTGAACGAGAGTACGTATCCGCGGATTTTCCAAGAGCTTCAGGACAAAGTGAACTCTTTATACAATGAAAAAACTCAGTTGGAAACATCTCTGAGTTCCGCTCTTCACCAACTTCACGCCCAGGGAGTTCCTACAGCACAGGAGGCTATTGTGGAAGACGAAGCTTCAGTGAGAGTTATAGATCTTCAGAAGACATTAGATGTGAAGGAGGCGGAGGTGGAGTCATTAAAGAAGAAGTTAGAGAGTAAGACCACTGAGTGTTCGTTGTTGGAGAACGCATTAGCCAAAGAAATATCGAGTTCGTCTTCCAGTGGGGAGGAATCTCAGGGGATGAGGGAACAATCCCTTACCTCGAGTGAACTAGATGTGGCGCTCTATATGCTTCATCAGAGGGATGTGAGGTGCGAGGAGTTGACTCATGAGTTGATGCAGTTGTTGGAGGAGAGGGATACCCTGCAGTTGAGGCTTTCTAACGCCATTAGATTGAACGAGGAGATGAGGAGGGGAGGTGCTGGGGAGGTGACGACGTTGAGTGAACAGCCTGTGAATGTTGATGCAGAGAAAATTCAGGAAAAGAGTGATCCCTCGCGGGAGAAAACTGAACTTGCTCAAAAGTAAGTGACATTTTTCGAGATTTTTTCGCACTTTTATTTTTGAGATCAGACGACTGGGGTCAGGGTGGCACAAAGGATACTTTTACTGGTTTCAGTATACAATCACGGGCCCTAATTAATTAATTTAAAAAATGTGGCTGGGTAACGAATGGCTAATGACTTTAAAGCTCTTTGAATCAACTGATATATTATTATGGATGTTCGCGTATTTCGTAATTTTCATTATATTACGGTATCAAACTAAATTCAAAACAACAGTGGTAAGGTGTCTATGGGTGTTTTCGCCAATTATTGGTATTGTTTTATACCTACAAAATTTAATTTTGTTGAGGCTTTCTTATCATTCAGAAAGCCTCAAAAATTTTTTCCAATTTTTAAAAAATTTTATTATGCTCACAACGTTCCTTTATTAATTTTGCGAGTTTTTGACAAAATTTTGCATCTCAGCAGAGGTCAATGTTTTTTGCGAGTTTTCAATATGAGTTTCCGATGAAAAGTTTCCGTTCTTTCGATTGACCACGGTTCCAATTAGCTCACATCGTCAAAAATCCTTTGAAACCGCCAAAAAACTAGGAAATGATGCGTGGTACCCTTTTCCTTCACTTCGATTGAAGATTTTTTTCTTCCTTACCCAAAGTGACTATTTTTACGAAACATTGAATATTCGTAGAACATAAAGTAAAAAATTATATTATTAATATTATTATTACTATTATTAACATTAATTAATATTATTTTATATTCTGTGAATATAACATTTTTAGACTCATGTGTTTCATTATAATTATTGCTTATGATTTATTGAGTAGTCAGAGCCCCCTGTAAACGCTAGTCTTCCCCGTAGGTTGTCCCAGCTGCACACAGTGGGTCACAGACGAGATATTCGATTGATGGATGATCGAGAATTGAGGAACACCCAGCAAATGTCACTGCTGGCGCACAAAGACGCCCTTAGTACCCTCCCTCCGGATGCCGCTGCCAGACTCATCAATGCCAATTACACCCTTTGTATGTATTCCATGCTAGAGTAATTGTTTTCCACCTAAAACAAGTGATTCACATTCTCTTAGTTCTATTTCACAACTTTCACTCTTCAACACAGTATGACGCACAATTATGATTGAAACTAATTTTTTATTCCACTCATTTCAGCACGAGACGTCCAGAGTCAATCAAGCGTATTACTAAATTGGTTGTGGGGTAAAAGGTAACTTTGTCTTTAGTTTTAATTACTGCAATTATGCAATGAATGGATTGAATGAAATAATTACATTTGACTTTATATCGGTTTTTTGTAGAGACATTTTCTCTGCAAAAGTGCATCCATTCCTCCCAGTTACCATTCATTTAATTTTTATAGTCCATACGCTAACCCTGTTCCTGTATGGACTACGAAGTTCAGTAAATTGTATTATTGGAGTTTACTTTTTTTATGGTGTTAACTCTAGATTGATCACCCGATGAGGAAAACCCCGTCGCGCGTCGTTTTTCTTTAATTACAATTGACTGGCTAATCGGAAGAATTAAAAAAAATCAACTTCGTCAATTGAAGTGTCTAAAAAATTATGGTAGTTTTTAGAACAAGATATTTCCCAAAATTCTTAAAGGAAACAAATTTTCGAACAGATGAATTATGTTTTCCCATGTTAAATGAAATTACCCATGACGCGACGTTGCCGGAAACTCGCTAAACGCGTCCGTGCAGTGTAGAGTGAATTCGGCAACGCTAAAGCCTAAATAACACGGGGAATCCCCGCGCAGGTGATCAAAGTTGGAGGGACGCATTTGGTGACCAGACTAGGGTTAAATCCGAATGCGAAGTGGGGGTTTGCAAATTGTGGGAGGATCTATTTGTTCATAACATTTTATTTTTCTTTATTTACCATAGTTAGGGAACAAAGTTATAAAACAAAAAATGTTTGATATGTGAAAATCAGGGATCGGCATAAAGCATCAGATTATTAATATTACGAGAAGTTGCATCTTAGAATAATTAAGGTTTACTTATCTTCATTGAAATGTGAAAAATAAGATAATAATGGATAATTATAAATTTCATAAAAAGGATTTTCGATCAGTTAAATAATCTTCCGAATTCACTTATTGATTAATAAAATAATTCGGAATTTGAATATTTAATTGATGATTAATTTAATAAATTGAAAATTGGTGAGTAATATTAACCAAATGACTTATTCAAAATTTCACTTTATTTAAAATTTATGATTATGTCGATGACTGGTGAAAATACACTTTTCTTGTTGGAAAATTTCCATCCTGTTTGCACCCACGATATCATAGTTTGAACAATCAAATTGTTATAAACAAATAGACCATAATTTGGAATTCGCAACATCAAACCGTGAATTCCAATAGTAAAATTTACTGAACCTCATACAGCATATAGAAACGGGACTACTACGAGTACACCTCCTGGACGCTCTTTCTACGGATACAATAGGGTGCTTCATTACCCCATCGCTATTGTTCTATTCACCTTCCATTAGAGACGCAACAGCGAAGTGCTACATCTTTTTGATATCCCCTTCTGAACCGATTTATACCCGTACGATTGGAATGTGTGCGGTTCAGTTCAACGAAAAAATTTGTTAAACACTTAGAGAAATGTAAAAAATCTAGAAAATTTCTGTTCCCAAAAAGCTTTGTAGTTTCTTTTCTGGTGAACTTATTTTTTAAAAATCCAATAGTGTTTTCGCGAACAGACTTGATACTAAAGATTGATGAATGCACAATTTTGATTTTTCAGTGAAAGGAAGAAATGTGCGTGCAAAAATATCAATAAATACCTTGAAATTTCTGGCCCAGATCTAGTATTCAGAAACCTCTGAAGAAAATTGGAGTTTTATATACAGTTTTTACCATCAACAGAAAATGCGATTGGGTGATAAGCATTCCCAGTGTATCCGTAGAGGACTGATGAACAACAATTCATGATTTATAATCGATCATAATTTAATACTTATTTGCAGTACACCAAAAGTAGTCCACATGTGACCAAAGCCAAAATCGATAACTGGATAACTTCCACAAGTTCCATAAAACATTCCCTACAATTAATTGAAGCGATTGACTGCCAATTGATTGTTTCTTGCCTGGGACGGGAATAATGGTATTCACCATTCATCAATTCAATTTAACGATGTAAATTGAATTATCTAAAACACTGGATCGTCATTCAAAGGAAGTGGGAAGAGGAAACATTTATATTTGTACATTGAATTCGTTGGAGCTTTTAAATGCGTGTAATTATATCAGTGACGATTAATTTATGAAATACAATGAGTTAAAGCTGGTGCCTTTATCGTGTGAAAGAAAAATATATTTATGAGATGAGAATGCAGAAGTGGGGAGTGAGAAGAACAGCAATGTAATAGATTGTATTATAATTATAATATATAGTGTCATTGTATAAAAAAACATTGAAAGTGTATTTACTAACAACGGAAGGAGAAAATGTACATTCAAATTAAATTTTCATCGAGTGGAATAACTGTCAATATTGATGTATTCTGATGAATCCCTTTGATCCATTGCGCATCATTATCTTTTATTGACGATGTGGAACACAGGACAGTTGACCTGTTAATGGGGATGTCAGGGAATTATATTTTTGGAATTTATAAGTGATAGGAAACTTCGCAATCTGCATTCATCTGTATTCATTCAATGACATTTGAGAGTTATGGCTAGGAGTAGAACCTGGGATAGTATTCTCGAGCTGGTGACGCCCTTGCAAATATTTTTTTAAGGTCCTGGTGGATTATCTTTCGAACGTGACTGTGGTTGTTTTTTTATTTTGATAATCTGAAATAATCTCCAATTCCTATTCCGTTTTACATAGCCCTTAAGTCTCCAAAAATTATGATTGTACAATCAAAAAAACTTTGAAAAAAAGTTGAACATTTCCAAAGAGCGTTTTTGAATAATATTGGAAAATAAACCCAATAGGGAGGAAATTGCAAATTAGTAATTTGCNATTCAGAGATTATCGGACGAATTGAACACAGCTAATGACACAATATCCAGTCTTCACGATCGTGTGAAAGTTCTACAATTGGAAACAGAAAGACTGTCAGCTGAAATCGATGAAAAATCTAAATCAATCGAGAGTGAAAAGCTGATGAGAGATTCTATAACTGCAGAGTTCGAATCTTACAAACAGATCACTGAATCGGATTTGAATTCTTCTAACGAGAAAATTATGCTTTTGAATGAACAAATTATGGAGAAAAAGGAAGAATTCAAAAACTTGGAAGAAACCAATACGTTAAATCAACGGATGACATCGGAGACTATTGAACTATTGAAAACACAATTGAGTCAATTAGAAGAGACGTTGAACTCCATGAAAGATCAAATTGAATTTTTAGCTGCAGAAGTCGAGAATAAATCTTCAGAAATATCTTCCAAAGATCAACAAATTGGAGTATTAACCCTCGAAATTGACGATAAAAACAATCAGATCTCATCCCTGACCATCGACATTGACCAGAAGATCCAAGAGATCGATTCCTTAACATCAGAAATTGAATCTGAAAAATTATCTAAAGACTCAATCACCTCCGAACTCGAAGCTCTCAAGACCCTGAAGACAACCCTGGAGCAAGAACTAGAAGAAGCCAAAGAGAAAGCTCGTGAACTAGGAGTTAGAATGCAAGTGATGGAGACTGAATACGTCGACCAATTGAACACTATCCAAACCCTGAGAACAGAAAATGGAATGTTGTCTTCCAAGCACGCACAAACGCACGAGCGCCTGGAGAACACAGAGGCAGAATCCACCGAACGACTGCGAGTCATTGAATCCTTGAAAAATGAGATAATCGAGCTGAAAAATGCCCAGCCATCCTCTCACCCCCCGGACTCCTGCGACCACTGCGAGAGATGCCAGGGACTGGTGAATGCATTGGAAGGAAAACTACAAGAGCGAAATGCTGAGATTCAGAACCTAGACAACGAATTGGCGAATTCCATCGCAAATTTCTTACAAATGCGAGAGAATCTGAGGACTCAAGAAATGCAGTGTAACGAAGAGTCTCAGGAAGCTAGAAAATCATTGGCTCAATTCAATAACTTATTAGCGAGAAATTCAGATAATGAATTGAGAATTCAGCAATTGCACGAGCAGATAATTAATTTGAACGATAGAAATTGTGCTCTCGATGAAGAACTGATAAAAACTCGAGAAATTGCAGCTTTGGCCCAACACTTCGAGCAACTCCACCTGAATTTATCCCAGATTCATCAAGAAAAGGAGAAAGAACTCGAAGAATTGAATGCAAAATTCCAAGAATTGCAGATTGAGAAGGATGATTTATCCGAGAAACTCGACAATTTGAAGTTGGAGAGGACAACAGTTGAGAAGCTGGAGAATATAGTTCCTGAGAGGATTGAGCAAGTCCCTCCAGCCCCTAAATTATTCGACGCTGCCAAACTCTTCACTGCCCCAGCTCCTTGGGACGTAGACAGCTCCATTGAAGACACTTCATCCCTCAAAAAAAGACTTGAAGACATCGAGATCGAGAAAAGTCAATTGTCCTCTCAACTTAATCAATTGACCACCGAAATCTCTTCATATCAGCTAGAAATTAGACAACTCAGAGAGAAGAATGAAGAATTAGCGCAGTTATCTTCCGAAGCAGAAGGAATAAAATCGATTGTGAGAGATTTCGAGCAACAGGTTCAACTTCTGAGTGAGGAGAACAATCAGCTGCGAGCTGAGCTGCTTCAGCGCCAGGAGTTCATCGCGAGACCCGTTGAGGACTTGAGAATATCTCAAGACTCCACTGATGCAATGATTGAGACTCTGAAGAGGGAGAAGGACGACTTGCAGAATACGATTGTTCATTTCATCACCAATGCAAAACGACTGATTGAAGATGGAGGAAACTCTGAAGAGTTCAGCATAAATGATTACGTTACGGAATTGACTGCAATCATATCGACAATTCGATCGTTGCAGCAGAGGATAATTGATTTGAATTCAACTTCAGTACTTCAATCTCAAGAGAATAAAGAAGAAGTGTCCGAGGAGATGAGGGTTGAGTATTCTTTAGGATTGTCAGCACCTCCACTTAATGATGAGGAGATTAAGCTCGACGATGAAGAGGAGTGGGGCTGGAACGCCCAGGATGCGGAGTTGGGCTCTGGATTAGCACTGGCTCCGATCTGCACTGGAGAAACTCAACTCAAGGCTAGGATAGCTGAATTGGGAGACACAATTAAAGACTTGGAGGACGAAAAACTCAAGTTGACTGAGGAAATTAAAGTGGGACAGATTCGAAGTGGGAAGTTGGTGAAAAAACTAAAGCAATTCAAGGCCCAGAATGAAAATCTTCAGAAACAGTTGAAGCTGCAGAAATCCTCGGGTAGCTTGTGCGACCTCGACTCGGCGATTGAAGACGAACTCAAGTCCCAGATCTCCCAATTAGAAAAGAACTTGAGTGAAGTTAAATCAGATCACAACAAAATCATTCAAGAACGAGACAATCTGTTGAAACGAATTGACGTTCTGATTGCTGCCAATGAAAGGTTCACAGAGATGAAGGAACGTCAGGATCGTGAAGTCGAAGTTCTTCAAATCCGGAATAAGGAGTTGGCGAGTAAGATCGGAGGAGTTGAGAGAGATATTGGGGAGGTATCTACATCTCTTGAAACGTGTGAAACTGAAAAATCAACGATCGAAAAGGTCTCGAAAGAGCAATACGACGAGCTCCAGGAATCCTTGGAGATGTTGGCAACTGAGAATGAACAGCTGAGGACATTAATCGAAGCTGAGAAGAGTGAGAGGCTTGCAATTGAGATTTCCTTGAGCGAAAGGATGAGAGAGATTGAAAAGTCTAAGAATCAGACTGACGAGATGAAGATCGGGTTCGATGAAACCCTGAAGAAATGTCAGAATTTGGAGACGGAATGCAGGACTAATTTGGAGATTGCCAATCAAAGGAGGATTGAGGTGGAGAATAATCATGAGATTGTGCTTGGCCAGGCGTTGCAGCGTTCACAAGAGCTGGAGAGTGAAATAGCTGAACGAAACGAAAGAATCAGACTGTTAGAAGAGAGTCTGAATGCCTCTGAGCATCAGCTCAACGACGCGCAAGAGACTCTGTCCAATGTTACCGAACTATTGAACGTCAGGGTTCAAGAAGTTGCGGAATTGCGACAACAGATCCAGCAATTACAAGGTGCAAAGATTGAAGCAGCAACTTGTCGTGTTAACGTAGATAATTTAAACAAGAAATTGATGGAAACGGAGGAAGACATGTCGCGAAAACTGACTGAACAGGAAGAGGATTTATCTCGCAAGTTGACACAGAGAGAAGAAGACTTGACGCGTAAATTAACTGAACGAGAAGAAGACTTGACCCGTCAATTGACCGAAGCTGAAGAAGATTTGTCGAGACAATTATCTCATAAAGAAGCAGAAATGAAGGAATTGTCAGCGAAACTGCAGGCGACATTGCAGGAGAAAACTGAAGAAATTGATTCTCTATCTTCTAAAATTCAAGAACTCTCGTCAGACCGTGACACATTGCGTTCTACTATTGAAAATCAGAATCAAGAACTCCAGTTGTTGAAAGAATCATTGGATAAGAATGAATGGCTGGTGGAAGCCCTCAAAACTGAATCTAACGTAAAAAAGGAGACAGTTTCCACTCTAGAAAACGATTTGTCTTCTTCTAGAGAAGAAATAATACGTCTGACAACATCAATCACCACTTTGACATCAGAAATAGATCAAAGGCATCAGGAGCTCTCTTCAAAAGAAAACGAAATCGAGTCCCTGAAGGGAATTGTGACTAATCTGCAAGCAAAATTAGAAGAGCGAAATTGTGAAATCTGTCCTAAATGTAAAGAAAACGAGGGGATTCTCTCGGAAATAGAACTTTTGAAGGAGCAATTGAGGCTTAAAGAAGCGGAAGTTGAGGATTTAAAGTACATCTTGAACGAGAGTACGTATCCGCGGATTTTCCAAGAGCTTCAGGACAAAGTGAACTCTTTATACAATGAAAAAACTCAGTTGGAAACATCTCTGAGTTCCGCTCTTCACCAACTTCACGCCCAGGGAGTTCCTACAGCACAGGAGGCTATTGTGGAAGACGAAGCTTCAGTGAGAGTTATAGATCTTCAGAAGACATTAGATGTGAAGGAGGCGGAGGTGGAGTCATTAAAGAAGAAGTTAGAGAGTAAGACCACTGAGTGTTCGTTGTTGGAGAACGCATTAGCCAAAGAAATATCGAGTTCGTCTTCCAGTGGGGAGGAATCTCAGGGGATGAGGGAACAATCCCTTACCTCGAGTGAACTAGATGTGGCGCTCTATATGCTTCATCAGAGGGATGTGAGGTGCGAGGAGTTGACTCATGAGTTGATGCAGTTGTTGGAGGAGAGGGATACCCTGCAGTTGAGGCTTTCTAACGCCATTAGATTGAACGAGGAGATGAGGAGGGGAGGTGCTGGGGAGGTGACGACGTTGAGTGAACAGCCTGTGAATGTTGATGCAGAGAAAATTCAGGAAAAGAGTGATCCCTCGCGGGAGAAAACTGAACTTGCTCAAAAGTAAGTGACATTTTTCGAGATTTTTTCGCACTTTTATTTTTGAGATCAGACGACTGGGGTCAGGGTGGCACAAAGGATACTTTTACTGGTTTCAGTATACAATCACGGGCCCTAATTAATTAATTTAAAAAATGTGGCTGGGTAACGAATGGCTAATGACTTTAAAGCTCTTTGAATCAACTGATATATTATTATGGATGTTCGCGTATTTCGTAATTTTCATTATATTACGGTATCAAACTAAATTCAAAACAACAGTGGTAAGGTGTCTATGGGTGTTTTCGCCAATTATTGGTATTGTTTTATACCTACAAAATTTAATTTTGTTGAGGCTTTCTTATCATTCAGAAAGCCTCAAAAATTTTTTCCAATTTTTAAAAAATTTTATTATGCTCACAACGTTCCTTTATTAATTTTGCGAGTTTTTGACAAAATTTTGCATCTCAGCAGAGGTCAATGTTTTTTGCGAGTTTTCAATATGAGTTTCCGATGAAAAGTTTCCGTTCTTTCGATTGACCACGGTTCCAATTAGCTCACATCGTCAAAAATCCTTTGAAACCGCCAAAAAACTAGGAAATGATGCGTGGTACCCTTTTCCTTCACTTCGATTGAAGATTTTTTTCTTCCTTACCCAAAGTGACTATTTTTACGAAACATTGAATATTCGTAGAACATAAAGTAAAAAATTATATTATTAATATTATTATTACTATTATTAACATTAATTAATATTATTTTATATTCTGTGAATATAACATTTTTAGACTCATGTGTTTCATTATAATTATTGCTTATGATTTATTGAGTAGTCAGAGCCCCCTGTAAACGCTAGTCTTCCCCGTAGGTTGTCCCAGCTGCACACAGTGGGTCACAGACGAGATATTCGATTGATGGATGATCGAGAATTGAGGAACACCCAGCAAATGTCACTGCTGGCGCACAAAGACGCCCTTAGTACCCTCCCTCCGGATGCCGCTGCCAGACTCATCAATGCCAATTACACCCTTTGTATGTATTCCATGCTAGAGTAATTGTTTTCCACCTAAAACAAGTGATTCACATTCTCTTAGTTCTATTTCACAACTTTCACTCTTCAACACAGTATGACGCACAATTATGATTGAAACTAATTTTTTATTCCACTCATTTCAGCACGAGACGTCCAGAGTCAATCAAGCGTATTACTAAATTGGTTGTGGGGTAAAAGGTAACTTTGTCTTTAGTTTTAATTACTGCAATTATGCAATGAATGGATTGAATGAAATAATTACATTTGACTTTATATCGGTTTTTTGTAGAGACATTTTCTCTGCAAAAGTGCATCCATTCCTCCCAGTTACCATTCATTTAATTTTTATAGTCCATACGCTAACCCTGTTCCTGTATGGACTACGAAGTTCAGTAAATTGTATTATTGGAGTTTACTTTTTTTATGGTGTTAACTCTAGATTGATCACCCGATGAGGAAAACCCCGTCGCGCGTCGTTTTTCTTTAATTACAATTGACTGGCTAATCGGAAGAATTAAAAAAAATCAACTTCGTCAATTGAAGTGTCTAAAAAATTATGGTAGTTTTTAGAACAAGATATTTCCCAAAATTCTTAAAGGAAACAAATTTTCGAACAGATGAATTATGTTTTCCCATGTTAAATGAAATTACCCATGACGCGACGTTGCCGGAAACTCGCTAAACGCGTCCGTGCAGTGTAGAGTGAATTCGGCAACGCTAAAGCCTAAATAACACGGGGAATCCCCGCGCAGGTGATCAAAGTTGGAGGGACGCATTTGGTGACCAGACTAGGGTTAAATCCGAATGCGAAGTGGGGGTTTGCAAATTGTGGGAGGATCTATTTGTTCATAACATTTTATTTTTCTTTATTTACCATAGTTAGGGAACAAAGTTATAAAACAAAAAATGTTTGATATGTGAAAATCAGGGATCGGCATAAAGCATCAGATTATTAATATTACGAGAAGTTGCATCTTAGAATAATTAAGGTTTACTTATCTTCATTGAAATGTGAAAAATAAGATAATAATGGATAATTATAAATTTCATAAAAAGGATTTTCGATCAGTTAAATAATCTTCCGAATTCACTTATTGATTAATAAAATAATTCGGAATTTGAATATTTAATTGATGATTAATTTAATAAATTGAAAATTGGTGAGTAATATTAACCAAATGACTTATTCAAAATTTCACTTTATTTAAAATTTATGATTATGTCGATGACTGGTGAAAATACACTTTTCTTGTTGGAAAATTTCCATCCTGTTTGCACCCACGATATCATAGTTTGAACAATCAAATTGTTATAAACAAATAGACCATAATTTGGAATTCGCAACATCAAACCGTGAATTCCAATAGTAAAATTTACTGAACCTCATACAGCATATAGAAACGGGACTACTACGAGTACACCTCCTGGACGCTCTTTCTACGGATACAATAGGGTGCTTCATTACCCCATCGCTATTGTTCTATTCACCTTCCATTAGAGACGCAACAGCGAAGTGCTACATCTTTTTGATATCCCCTTCTGAACCGATTTATACCCGTACGATTGGAATGTGTGCGGTTCAGTTCAACGAAAAAATTTGTTAAACACTTAGAGAAATGTAAAAAATCTAGAAAATTTCTGTTCCCAAAAAGCTTTGTAGTTTCTTTTCTGGTGAACTTATTTTTTAAAAATCCAATAGTGTTTTCGCGAACAGACTTGATACTAAAGATTGATGAATGCACAATTTTGATTTTTCAGTGAAAGGAAGAAATGTGCGTGCAAAAATATCAATAAATACCTTGAAATTTCTGGCCCAGATCTAGTATTCAGAAACCTCTGAAGAAAATTGGAGTTTTATATACAGTTTTTACCATCAACAGAAAATGCGATTGGGTGATAAGCATTCCCAGTGTATCCGTAGAGGACTGATGAACAACAATTCATGATTTATAATCGATCATAATTTAATACTTATTTGCAGTACACCAAAAGTAGTCCACATGTGACCAAAGCCAAAATCGATAACTGGATAACTTCCACAAGTTCCATAAAACATTCCCTACAATTAATTGAAGCGATTGACTGCCAATTGATTGTTTCTTGCCTGGGACGGGAATAATGGTATTCACCATTCATCAATTCAATTTAACGATGTAAATTGAATTATCTAAAACACTGGATCGTCATTCAAAGGAAGTGGGAAGAGGAAACATTTATATTTGTACATTGAATTCGTTGGAGCTTTTAAATGCGTGTAATTATATCAGTGACGATTAATTTATGAAATACAATGAGTTAAAGCTGGTGCCTTTATCGTGTGAAAGAAAAATATATTTATGAGATGAGAATGCAGAAGTGGGGAGTGAGAAGAACAGCAATGTAATAGATTGTATTATAATTATAATATATAGTGTCATTGTATAAAAAAACATTGAAAGTGTATTTACTAACAACGGAAGGAGAAAATGTACATTCAAATTAAATTTTCATCGAGTGGAATAACTGTCAATATTGATGTATTCTGATGAATCCCTTTGATCCATTGCGCATCATTATCTTTTATTGACGATGTGGAACACAGGACAGTTGACCTGTTAATGGGGATGTCAGGGAATTATATTTTTGGAATTTATAAGTGATAGGAAACTTCGCAATCTGCATTCATCTGTATTCATTCAATGACATTTGAGAGTTATGGCTAGGAGTAGAACCTGGGATAGTATTCTCGAGCTGGTGACGCCCTTGCAAATATTTTTTTAAGGTCCTGGTGGATTATCTTTCGAACGTGACTGTGGTTGTTTTTTTATTTTGATAATCTGAAATAATCTCCAATTCCTATTCCGTTTTACATAGCCCTTAAGTCTCCAAAAATTATGATTGTACAATCAAAAAAACTTTGAAAAAAAGTTGAACATTTCCAAAGAGCGTTTTTGAATAATATTGGAAAATAAACCCAATAGGGAGGAAATTGCAAATTAGTAATTTGCTGCATCTAATGGCTGTTAGGTCGTCATTTGTCACAGTAGTCAATGGCTGTCAGATCGTTAGTTACCATGATAAATTATCCATTCACTATTTACTCTATCGGAGTTATTTTTTAATCTTTATTAAAAACGCTCTTTGAAAATGTTCAATTTTTTTCTACTTTTTGCTTCCGAATGGAAGCATTGTAATCGGTCAAATTTAAGTTTTTGATCTTTCATGTTATATCAACCCAATGTGATCCGAGTCCGAAAATGCAATTTTTAGATCGTGTCCGAACGTATGTACGTATGTGTGTGTGTATGTATCAAATTTTTTCTTCGATTTTCTTCGATTGCTCGCTAATGAATCGATGGAATTGATTTTTTTTTTTTCAAATGTAGGTATTATTGGGCCCTATCCATAACCATTGTTTAAAATTCAATTCATTGATTGATTTTTTTTATTTTTGAATTTTTTCAAAAATTGGTTTTTTTACGATAACTAAAAAAAAAACGTTCGGAATGAATTGAATGACGGCTGAAAAAATTTGTTTCCATGTCCCCTTGACCGAGTTCGAACATGAAAGTGATAGCAATAATCGTTATTCCAATTTTTTTGAAAATTCGTTTTTTTTTTTCAAATTTCATCGATGTCTTTGTAGACTAGGCTTCAAATGGATTCAATAATAGATTAAAATGTTCCTTTGGATGCCAGCAAGTCTAAGTTGAAAGGTGGTTATGATAACTGCCTTCATTAATGTGATTTTTATGATGATATTTGGAAATTTTGGAGTTTTCATTCCTAAACCTAGCTTATACTAGAAAAAATGAACCTGTTGAAAAATATTAGAAATCAGTGTCAGTCCGCTGCGCTGGCTCTGGGTTGAAATGCGACCAGTAAGAGTGGATTAAAGTGAGTGTAACCCATTACGATCCGAAATAAGAATTTCAGAACGAAAACTAATTTCCGTTCATAATAAAAATGAAAAATAAAAATTATAAAAAATAGGAAAAAATAATCATGGTAGAATTTACTCAAGTAGAAAATTCAACACAATGAATTGAGAAGAAAATTATGCAATCCAATGAAATGAAAAAAGTATAAATTACATACGATAGAGAAAATAATATATGAAGTGACCATTCGGAAGCATATTGATAATTTATTAGCAAAGAAAGCTATACAATATCTGATACCAGAGCAATTCCCCACTTGTTTTGCTTGTACAATCATAACTTTTAGGGACTCCTGCGTGACGTAAAATCCAATAGGAATTATGATATATTTTACATTATGAAGGTGGAAAGGCAATCGAGATAACGTTCGAAAGATAATCCACCCGGGCCTTAAAATGAATATCAGGGTTGGGAACTCTGCAACGGCACTTTATGGGGTAAAATACGCGCTTAACGCATTTTGTTATTGCTTGAACTATGGCTGGCATTCGAATTCTATTTTTTTCTCTTGTTTTCCTTATGATGACGTCCAAAAAGAGTTCCAATAAAGTTTTGTCTCTTAATTGAAGGGGTGAACTTAACTTCTAATCTAGAATCAAAAAGTGAAAGAGGGAAATTAGGTGAATGAGAAAAATAGTTCAGGAGTAATTTGTGAACAATCCAGCACTATAGATTTTTTGTGGAGATTGTTATGGGCTACAAAAAGGTCCTATTGTAGAAATTGAAGGTATTGTGGGAAGGTCCAATTCACTAAAATATGCGATTTAGTAAACTGATCACACATTTCATATTTGAGGTCATATTTGAAGGACAGTAGAAATATATATAAAAATAAAGATATGTGTGATCCAGTATGAGGTTCGCAACTATCTGCTTGAGGTGTCTATGGATTCGTAAGACAGCCGAATCCCGTAAACGGAATAAATCATAAATATATGCGTGACACAATGAGCGCAAATGAGACGGTGCGAGGAGTTTGTCCTCCTGTTAATCATCTCTAGCGAGAAGAGATTTTTTCTCCACGACTAATTGGCGTGGATGCTTATACCGTTTTTATATTACTTGAATTTACGTGACAAAGATGACTTTTAGACACATAGTATAAAAGACATACATCATAAAGGCCTAAAAATTCAACCATATACGTCTTTTCGACAATCGTCACGTGTATTCTACGTATTTTAAACGATCAGATGCTTACTGGGCGGTGACGGTAGTCAGTGTATGTAGCGAGCTGCTATACTATGTCATTTGTTTCGAAACCTCGTCATTTTAAAGATATCATAAAATAATCTATAAATTGATTTCGTAGTTTAAATGTCATTCAGAAATTTCTTATGAATTGTTTTATGAATATCACGTGGATATTCTCGTTCGATTTTTTCAATTTTTCTCAAATTTTGTCGATTATTATTATTATTTATTAATTGTTCAACAGGAGAAAAACTCCCATAGCAAGGGGGAAACTCAAGCTTGTACACATGGCCATATAACGAAATTTACCGATATATCACTCTCCAACATCTCATACACTATTTCATAGCTTTGCACACACCAGATCCATTCCATCCACATACCAGTCGATTCTCATACGCCGTAAGATAAAAGAGTATCTAAAATATCTAAGTATCGAAATCAGTTGGGTTATAAATGAGTTTATCAATATTTTGCCGATTGATTGAATATTCTCACGCTCACAGAAATACAGTACCATCAGGTAAGTCAGATAAGCGATACAACAAAGTATTTCAGAGAATTAGACAATAAAATTCGTTAATCAAACCGCATTTTCCGTGAAATTGTCCTTACTGTTCAGTAATAATGACTTATTATATTTAAGAGAAATATTATACTTGAATGTTGTGCATGATTGACATTAACATTGAGTGAACACTCAAAAACATCGAATATCGAGAGATTGATTTCAATCAATTTTTACGAGTATTCGCATCTTTTGAAACTGTTGTGCCCTCTATAATGAAGTCAAAATTACATTTTTACCATCTCTGAATGTTACTGACTTCATTAAAAAAAATTAAATACCAGTACGCGATTGGCCGATCGGCCGATTTCCGAACAATTTTCTGGGGGTGTCCCGCAGCTCTAATACAACTCGCATATGAGTCGTGTTCGTCAGGTTGAGTACGCCTCAACGATTCGAGGATAAGCCTCCCTGTCCTCGCATTTCTACTTACTCCACAATTCGTTATTCTATTATTTTTTGAGTAGATCTAAAACGAAGATGATGAAAAATTCCACTATTTTAGTTTTGGTTTTTTTACATTTTTTGCAGGATGGGATAGTGATAGGGAAAAGTGACTCGAAACCTCATATAATAATTATTGTAGCCGATGATTTGGTAAGTGAAATGAAACTTATAAGGTTTGTTGGGATGAGTTGAGAAACAACATTTCGAATTGCCCTTTGAATTACAGGGAGTCCCAAAACTTTTGAGTGAACTTCTTAATGATGAAATACGATAAAATCCTGAATCAAACGTATTTGACATCATTTTGCATCTACCTCAATTAACTCGTTAGCTATTGACCGAAACTAACAGGCGAAGTGGAATTTTCGACTCAGAATCCCTTTCGTCCCCTAAATTTTTTCAAACCTTGAAATTTTGGATAAGAGTTTTAGGACACTGCATATTTCTGGAACTGATGGCTTTAGAGAAAATCCTTTGAGTGTATTATTTGTCGGATGACTTTATTCAATTCCTTTCTCTCACAAAATTCGAATTCATAGTTCACTGCAGTATAAATCAATAATTAATAATTGATAAAATTTCTCAAGTTGAATATAAAATTAATTGTGTAAGAGCACCATGTATGCTGTTTTTAAGCGAACACACTATTCTCCTCAAAAAGTGTCCTGATAAATTACTCTGAACTATGTATTCAGACAGAAAGCGTGAATTTTAACTCACAATCAGTAGTAAAAAAGTGACACAAAACAAACCGATTTTCTTTGAAACACATTCTTTGAGAATACCTTGAAATTTGAAAAAGATATACGTTTCAAAAAATTGAATAAAAAATCCTAGTACTTTCGTTGGGTGTTTTATTGGAATTTCGTTCGTTTTATTCTAATGAGTCATAACAATCCCAAACATTCAGTGATAAGTTCCTTTTTGATTTTTTTCCGGGCGATGATTAACGAGTTAATAATCAATAAAGTTACAGGATAACATGTAGCATTCCTCCTTCATGATATGTATATATATGTATGACCGTATTATGGCTGAATAATCGATTAGTAAGAAATGAAACGGTTGGATAGAAGTTTGGATATCAACAACATTGGCCTTAATTAGCTTAAATTGAATTAAATGAATAAAGTTGGCCGATGACACGGTTGCCGAAATGCAATTACTATGACATCGGTACTGATATATTACTTTTCAAAAAAATCCATCAATGTCTTTGTTACATTTATTACAATCAAAATTACATTGACAAGAATTTAATTCTAGATCAAACAAGGAGTATTGAGCATGCAAACACTCTAGAGTTGATATTCATTTACAAGGAATTGTCATTTTCGTTCCTGTTTCCCAGCCGCTATATCTTTGCAATTCTGGCCCAATGCGACGACCGTAATTTTTTAATTTTGTGAATTTATAATTTGTTAACTATATCGCGCGGTACCAAAAGTAAAAGAGGACCGCCCATCTCAACATTTCACCCCTTTCGATTATTTCGTCACGAAGAAAAAATACTGTGACGTATTGTGAAAAATACGTCGATTGTTTGTGAATAATAATGACGTATTATGAATAATACGTTACATTCAATTTATAATTCTAAACGATGGGAAAAGAAATGTGATTTTGGTCTCATCGTTCACGAGCAGAGCTCAGCATTCCCATGGTGACACCTGAGTCCAGCTTCATAGAAGAAGAGCTGTTTGACTGTTTTAGTTTTGTGTCAGTGATGACATGAAACTGTATTAGTGCACCAGGACCGCGGGATTGCTTAGATCTGCAATTTCGGGTCTTGGAACTTTTGAGGACTCATAAGAGTCAGAGTGAGTACGGGAGTGAAGCTGAACGGTCATCTCAGCTCCTCCACTTTTAATACCGCGTATACCGAACCCCCCAACCGAATCAGTGTCTTGTATTTAGTTCGTAGTTTAGCCAAGAATAAACCTATAGCTTTTACCAGACATTGAGTGTCCCATAGTTACATCCTTAAAATCCCTACATCCTACTATTCCGGAAGTGAGCGGATCCTCCGTAAGCGTAACCGTAATAGTTAGCTGGGTATAGGGTGTTTGACGGCCCTAGCAAGGAAGTATAAAAGGTTCTTACTACTAATAGTGACTAGTCACAGGGACTAGTCACTCAAGGTAGTATCACTCAGGATTGAAGGCAGTGAGTGAACTACCAAAAACATCACAACAGCAAGAAAATTACTGGGCTAGCACGACAAGAATGGGTTCATTTGACGGACTCGAAAAAATTCACCTGCCAATAATGGAATTTTTACTTCCATTTCTTTTCTCGAATTTACCATGAAAAATTCTTTTTTTCGCAGCAAAAGGTTTCGTAACTTTGAATCCGCGGACAAAATTTCTGCGACAAAATCGCCGAGGATAATTTATCCATTAACAATTTTTCCACCGACAGTTTCCCCCACACTGATAGAAAAGGTGGAACGATTCAGTTGGATCAAACGAGGCTTCTTAACTGTTACCGCGATTCGTTAATATAGTTAACGAATCGCGGTAATAGTTAAAAAGTTTCGTTTGGTTCGACTAAACCGTTCTATCAGTGCACATCCATTATTCCCGAGGTACAAAATAACCACCGACAAATTTGCCGGAGATTTCATTCAGCTTTCATCCTCTTCTGAAACAATATCAAGTGCAAAAAAAGAAACAAAGCAGGGGTTAGCGCGCATACAACGATTTTAATGAAAAAACAGTAAAGGGGAAATATCTCAAAAACTTTCTATGGACAGGTATATATGTTTTTGTTGATCTAGGTAGAGGACATCGAGACGAATATTTTGAAAGAATAAAATCTAAATCGGTCCAATAATTTTAAACATATTCGAAAAACGATTTAAAAACGAATCGCTTTATCTCAAAAACGATTTGACCGGTCGGGCTGAAATTATGCACAGAGTTAGTCCTTATTAAGACCTATAATCTGACAAAATTTCAATTTTTTTGGAATTATTTTAGCCACTTAATTACTCAACTTTCTAAAAATTGACCATCGGGAAGGTGGCGGTGGACACATTCACATACGGACATGGTCGCCAAACTTCGTATTTTTACTTTTCAGACCATTCAACATCATTTCCAATGAAGATTTGAGAATGTGAAAATCGGACGATTACAAAGCTTCCATTCGGAAGCAAAAGTAACTCAGATTTCAAAGATATAATTTAATGCATAATTCTCAGTTCGATAACTCACATATTACATATAATTACAATGCTTCAGCAAATAGATTCCTCTCGATTCATAGAAGCCCGTTATAACGATTGATAAATACACATTATAACCATTCTCTGATATAGAATCAATACAAAATTACAAATAATACTGAACTAAAATCAAATTAAATGCAAATTTCATAATACTGAATTAAAAGCAAATTTCGTGTAAGATAACGTGGCTATCGGTGATAATGCAAATGAGCAAACATTGTGAAGTAGTTTATTTTGATGGGAATCTTCAAGCGAGAGAGTTATCGGGAACCCTTCCAACTTACTATTCATCATCCGAGATTGTAAACACATGAAATGTCGGATAATTTATCGACGGTTATAATGTGCCAAGAATCAATTGGCGGCAGATCAGAAGTTAACATTATAATTGTCGCTGGAGAAATTGTGTTCAGTTTTCTTTTCATTTTGGAATTTTGTTGCAGAAATTTTATCGCAAAGATTTTGTCCGCGGATCAAGAAGCGTGTTATCTTATTTATCGGGTATTATTTTCTCCTTGTTGAAATATCGGTTCAAAGTTTTGGAACACCCTGTATTGCGGGTCTATGTCTAAATATTTTCCGTCAAAAAAACTCCGTCAAAACAACTTTACGTCAAAAACACTTGGTTAAAAAAAAACCTTCGTTAAATAAACCCAACCGAAAAATAACTTCTCTCATAAAAAATTCCATGAAAAAATAACTCAAAAAACCACCTGAAAAATAATCAATGATGAAAGAAACAAGTGGGAAATTGCTTTTATATTTAAAATGGTATAGTTTTCTTTGCTAATAAATTAGCAATATGCTTCCGAATGGTGATCTTGCATCTTTTTTATTCTTATCGAAAATAATTCATATTTCAATTTATTCCTTAATCATCTCCATACAATGCCGATGATTGTCATGAAATTAATAATTTTCAATCGTAATATATTTTGTTTTTTCATCCATTTTATATCCAACAGATTTGATAACCAACATTTGTGTAATTTTTAATTACCATTAATGTCGTTGGATGTGTTAAAATAATTCCATTCTAATCGATAATGTAAAAAATGAGTAATTCATGTTCAATTATTCAATCGTGTTATCGTTCTTTGATTGTTTCATTTAAAAAAGTGAATATTGTGTGTGAAGTGATTGAATAGATTTAAATATTTTTCTCCACTACAATAATCAATCCAAGTGTATTTTTCACAATAGTGGAAAGTCAACAATCTTTTGAATACTCTAAAAATGATGATCGGACATTCTCATATGAATTAAGTCGAAAAATGATACTATTCAAAAATGATACTATGATAATACAATTTTCAACAAAATTTTATTAAGAATATTTTAATTTTATATAATATGAAGAATCTGAAACCTTTTCCATCAGATTCTTTTCGAAGAATCTGATGGAAAATTCAAAATATCGAAAAACATGAAAATGATTCTCAAAATCTTATATAAATTCAAAGATAGAGTGAAACTTTCTATTATACCTTAGAATTCCACTATAATCATGTTTAAAAAAAATTGTTTGATGCAAGAATTGATAAATTTGAGCATTACATTAGATGAAACTACCAGAAATTTGATTTTCATAAAAAATTCATGAAAAATTCAAAATTTTCATGAATGATCATAAAAATCCAATTGATCAAGACAGTTATCATGCTCATTCTTCAACTACACATTAATGACATCAAAACAAATATTTTAACCTATGGTTCACTCCATGAAACATCATAAATTAAAAGAAATTTGTGAAAATTAAAATTTAGAAAAAAAAATTGAATTAAAAAAAAAATCCGAATAACTATTAAAGCTATGATCTTCATCTTCGAACTCGGTCGAGAGGACAGCCCAATNAAAAAAGTGAATATTGTGTGTGAAGTGATTGAATAGATTTAAATATTTTTTTCCACTGCAATAATCAATCCAAGTGTATTTTTCACAATAGTGGAAAGTCAACAATCTTTTGAATACTCTAAAAATGATGATCGGACATTCTCATATGAATTAAGTCGAAAAATGATACTATTCAAAAATGATACTATGATAATACAATTTTCAACAAAATTTTATTAAGAATATTTTAATTTTATATAATATGAAGAATCTGAAACCTTTTCCATCAGATTCTTTTCGAAGAATCTGATGGAAAATTCAAAATATCGAAAAACATGAAAATGATTCTCAAAATCTTATATAAATTCAAAGATAGAGTGAAACTTTCTATTATACCTTAGAATTCCACTATAATCATGTTTAAAAAAAATTGTTTGATGCAAGAATTGATAAATTTGAGCATTACATTAGATGAAACTACCAGAAATTTGATTTTCATAAAAAATTCATGAAAAATTCAAAATTTTCATGAATGATCATAAAAATCCAATTGATCAAGACAGTTATCATGCTCATTCTTCAACTACACATTAATGACATCAAAACAAATATTTTAACCTATGGTTCACTCCATGAAACATCATAAATTAAAAGAAATTTGTGAAAATTAAAATTTAGAAAAAAAAATTTGAATTAAAAAAAAATTCCGAATAACTATCAAAGCTATGATCTTCATCTTCGAACTCGGTCGAGAGGACATCCCAACAAATTTTTTAAGCCATAGTTGAATGAATTTAAAACATTTTTTTTTCAGCTATCGTATGAAAACTGATTTTCGAAAAAATTCAAAAATTAAAAAAATGAATGAATGAATTAAATTTTAATTAATGGCGATGGATAGGGCTTGATAAGACCTACATTTGATAAAAAAAATTTTCTTCGATTCCATTGTTTCCTTAGTAAATAATTGAGAAAAATGGTTTTTACATACACACACACATACATACATACATACGGACACCGCCCAAAAATTGCATTTTTNCAATAATCAATCCAAGTGTATTTTTCACAATAGTGGAAAGTCAACAATCTGTTGAATACTCTAAAAATGATGATCGGACATTCTCATATGAATTAAGTCGAAAAATGATACTATTCAAAAATGATACTATGATAATACAATTTTCAACAAAATTTTATTAAGAATATTTTAATTTTATATAATATGAAGAATCTGAAACCTTTTCCATCAGATTCTTTTCGAAGAATCTGATGGAAAATTCAAAATATCGAAAAACATGAGAATGATTCTCAAAATCTTATATAAATTCAAAGATAGAGTGAAACTTTCTATTATACCTTAGAATTCCACTATAATCATGTTTAAAAAAAATTGTTTGATGCAAGAATTGATAAATTTGAGCATTACATTAGATGAAACTACCAGAAATTTGATTTTCATAAAAAATTCATGAAAAATTCAAAATTTTCATGAATGATCATAAAAATCCAATTGATCAAGACAGTTATCATGCTCATTCTTCAACTACACATTAATGACATCAAAACAAATATTTTAACCTATGGTTCACTCCATGAAACATCATAAATTAAAAGAAATTTGTGAAAATTAAAATTTAGAAAAAAAAATTGAATTAAAAAAAAAATCCGAATAACTATTAAAGCTATGATCTTCATCTTCGAACTCGGTCGAGAGGACAGCCCAATAAATTTTTTAAGCCATAGTTGAATGAATTTAAAACATTTTTTTTTCAGCTATCATATGAAAACTGATTTTCGAAAAAATTCAAAAATTAAAAAAATGAATGAATGAATTAAATTTTAATTAATGGCGATGGATAGGGCTTGATAAGACCTACATTTGATAAAAAAAATTTTCTTCGATTCCATTGTTTCCTTAGTAAATAATTGAGAAAAATGGTTTTTACATACACACACACATACATACATACATACGGACACCGCCCAAAAATTGCATTTTTGGACTTTTTGGATCATACTTGGTTGATATAACACAAAAAATGCAAAACTTAAATTTGGTCGATTACAACGCTTCCATTCGGAAGCAAAAAACCAACGACTATCAATGAAATTGAACGAAACTTTATTAACAAAATAAATGAGTAGTAGACAAAAAAAATTATGCAATTAAAGGGTGATATTCAGAGTAATTCCTTTCAAATATTTCATGTACGAACGATTAGCGTAATCACGAATAACAACGCTCAAACGTTGCACAAAAAAAATCGGCACAAAAAAATATTCGGGTTTTTAACAAAGTTATTTGTACAGAAGTTGTTTTTGAAATAGTTTTTTTATGACAAACGTTGTAATCGCAAAAGTTAAAAAAAACCGAGTTTTTATGACGAAGTTTTTTTGACGGCAAATATTTAGACGTGCTCCCGGGAATATGAGTTGACGCACATCTCGTTCCACTATTTCACATTAAAATTAGTCAAAACTGATCAATAATTTCTTTCTTGATTGAATTCATATTAATAGGGATGGAATGACGTTAGTTTTCATGGGTCCGATGAAATTCCAACCCCAAACATTGATGCGCTTGCTTACAATGGTGTAATCCTGAATAATCACTACACCGGTCCCGTATGTACACCAAGCAGAGCAGCTCTGTTATCTGGAAAATATCCAATTCACCTAGGAATGCAACATCTGCCGATGCAAGCAACAGAACCCAGAGGTCTCCCAATTACTGAAAAATTGCTACCTCAGGTATTTTCTGCCTAAATTCAGTAACAAAGTGATTGAACGATTTGAATCGCCACGTATGAAAAAATCTAATAGAATTTTTGCCGATTTCTATCCGAAAAGTCGGCTGCTTTTCCGCGCGTTTTCTCTGATAGGGAAATATTGAATAGAGAAGAATCTATAAATTCAGAAGTTCCTATAAAATTTATGCTGTTCTGATTTTTTCTATGAGGAGGAGCAAATCTATTGACAATGAGCTCTAAATTTTTGTAATTATGTAGCCTTCACATTTAAACAATGCCATTTTGCAAGGGATGCTAATGGACTATTCACGCTTAGAAAGTAGTCCAGTAAATACAGTTTAGCATTTTAGTCTGGAAATGGACCCTGCGTTTACTATTAAATTGGCCTTTCACCGTGATTAGCGGGGATGAACCGTGTAGAGGCTCAAATTGTGAAGTATTTCTGATACCAGGTGACAAGGTTTAAAATATTATTAAATTCATATACTATTCAAATTCAACATTTAAATTTGATACGATCAAAATCAATGTAGGAAAGCGTCATTGTGAATGTTCTGGATAACTTTGACCCAACTTCAACCTATGAGACATATCCTATTCTAAAAAGAACATACACATATTTAAAGTCAATAACTATCGATATCTCGCAAGTCTATCACGCTTATTCCTCATTGGTTCCAGTCGTCCGAGACGGCAAATTTAATTCATGATTAATTTAATTTTGAGATTTTCAATCATGAGTATTACAATTAAGGTACGCTCTATAGTAGGACTCCTATAATTTCGACCCGACGGGGGAACGAATTCCGAGAAGTCGAAAATAGTCGGCCGAGCTCTCATTGGACAAGCGCGCGTAGTGGGGAGGTCAGAGAGAGAACGCATTATGTTGCTCTCTGTCTTCGATCGTCGGACAACAGTGCGTACATAACCCCAAAGTAAATTTTTCCAAATAATTAAGGTTAGGCAAACACTCGGGAGCATAGGGCTATGCGCCCGGGAGATTATGGGACCATTCCGGAAACGGAAGAAGTGGGGACTGAAAGCGCGAGAATGAGGACGCAGTGACTCCGTCCGTCGAAAATAGCCGGCTCGAAATTACAGGAGAAAAGAGGGAGTCGCAGGTCGAATGGTAAGGTAGACGTATAGTGCGCGCTCCTCTACCTATTTTTTTTCGTTTGATTTCGGTTATCAGTTACAGTAAACCAGTATGGTTTGATTCAAATACCCACTTGAGTTGTGGTGTTTTATAAATCTACTGTTTTAATTTTCGGGGCAATAGTCTTTCCGTTAAAATAAAAAATTAACATTAGTCAAGTCACCGCCCAAAATCCTAACCTCGACGGCGTCAACAATCTAAACGTGGCGGCGCCAAGCGCCAGCCTACCCTCATCATCTCCGATACCTACAGTTCCCAAAATGGCTGCGATGGATAACAACAATGACTCTCATACATCCGAAAGAGTTACAGGCAACACCAACAACAATAATTCTAACTATCGATATGAAGAAAACTCCACAATCGACGTTTCTAACTCAAATAATGGTTTATCTCCCATTATCCTCAATGATCCATTTTTACCCCAATGTCAAAGTCTCCCTCGTAAACCCACTAGATACATTGCAGCCCAACTATACAACTGATGACAACATGAACACAGCACTTTTGTATGCTGCCAGGCAATCAGAATTTTTAGATCATGGAAATGCCAACCAACTCCCTTCAAGCTATCTCATTGACCCCTCTCTCAATACCCTAAGACATTTCAATAACCCCTCCCCAGCAAGCTCAATCACATCGCCATTTCTAGGTGAAACACATGACCCCACCATGATCATCGACCAGCAATGTGCTGATAAGAATAAGTTTGGCAAACGATCAATTATCAAAGAAGGGGAAGACGACGACCCTGACCTAACCCCAATCAATACTCCCAAGCATGTACACAAATCCCCCTCCACAACTCGCCCAATAATCTCTCCGCACAAGAGCAAGACTCCGCAAGAGCAAATTACAGACTCATTACAATCTGCTACTAAAATAAACTCCCTCCCGACAAACGATGAAAGCATGGAAATCCTTCCAACTACTCAGTCTCAAACCCAACCTCGTTCCCGCCCAACTATCCGTGATAACCTACGATCTAATCGTTATCCTCCACACTCCAGAAACCGAACCTTTGAAGTTCTTTCCCAGTCAGACGATTCGAAACCCAATGTCAAACACCTACATGGTATCCATCTTGCAAGAATAATCCACAGGATTTTACAAGAGGCAAAATTGGGTAACGACTGCCACGAGACCAGAAAAGTAGGCTTTTCAATCATTGTTCCCTTCTTTAGTGCCAAACAGGCCAACACCGTCATGAATCACCCATCTCTCGCAGCTGAAAACATAATTGCCTACATCCCTGAATTTAATCTCTCCAGGCAAGGGCTCATCAAAGGTGTCCCTCTAGATATCACAAATGAAGACCTTATGACAGATCTGAAGTCCTCAGTTCCATTCACATAAGTCACTCGATGCAATTGCTTTATTAAAAAATTCAATGGCTCCAGACATATGAGTCAGTCAACCACCATCCTTATTAAATTTGAAGGGCAAATACTCCCACCCACGATCTCCCTATATAACGTTCGACTGGAAGTTTTCCCATATATCTCGCAAGTTAAAAAGATGCTCAAACTGTCTTCACTTTGGCCACTCGAAAAAGCATTGCCAAAGCAATGCTATCTGTAACCACTACTCAGAAGCTGCCCACGATTCCTCGCCCTGCCCTAACGTCAACAAAATTGCTAAATGCATAAACTGCAGGGGACCACATCCATCAACAGATGAGTCGTGCCCTGCCCTTCACTTTCAGTGACAAATCCACCAATATGCTGCGGCTAACGGCATTACCTATGTAGAAGCTAGATATATCTTGCAAAATAACAAAAATAGCAACACTGGAGATTCACATGTCCAGCAACTCAGTCCCCCTACTAATATATTCTCTCCCCCTTCTCCACCGATCTCCAACAAGACCTCCTTTTCAACGATAAACCCTACTCATGCCTCATTCAACATCCAGAATCGTATTACACAAGCCCGAACCGAGAACCCTCCTCAGGTGATGGATAAACCGACTGCCCTCGACACCCTCCGTTTCCCTCCCAATCCCCCTACCGCTAAACCCCCTCAACCATTCATCTGAGACAATCCTGCTCCAAAATCCACACAACAATTTAAGAGGCAACGCCAGTCGCGGCAATCCACCGCTCAACTGTAGCAACGGTCACCTCCAAATCACAATCACTTATTGATCTCACCCAATGGTGCTAACTACTTGAATCCATGCTACACCCAAAATACACCCAAAACCATGCCAGTGACCCAACTTAATTGCTCTCTCCCGTATAACATCTCAAATAATAAACCCTCAGACCTTCAGGAAATAATGACCCAGATAAAGACTTTCTTGGATATCTTTCTTACCAAATTAGCTGACCTTGTGAAAACCCTTGGTTTGACATCCCATCTAAACGCGATTTCCACTCTTGTCAACTCGTTCCAAGCCCCAATGCCACCTCACCTCGCCGTTCCTGCTCAAGGATTAACCCCCTTAATCTTCCTTCATTTTTCAACACCTCTACTACAACCACCTCCTCCACTATCTCTTCTGCCTCTCCTACTTTGACACAAAGCTTCGGACCTCCTTTATCAACCAAACTCTCTCCTCCCCCACCCCAATATAAATCCACAATGGATTATACAGACGACAGCAACACAAACTCATCTTCTCTCAAACTTCTACAATGGAATTACCGAAGCCTCAGACCCAAAATAGGAGAAATCCGAAACATAGCTCATAAATACGATTTAATTCTTCTGTCGATTTAATTCTTCCAACTACTCAGGGAAGACATCCTGGACCAACAAGGACTGGGCATAGCCCTGGCCATCCGAGATAACATTACTTACACCCGTATCCACGACATTGATAAAATCTCTCCTAACTTGCACCTGCTAGGCGTCACAATCCCCTCCTCTAGTGGTGAAATAGCTATTATTTCTCTCTACAAAAAACCAAGAGCTCCAGTCTCTTCTGACGAATGGACAAAACTTCTCAACTCTTGTTCCTCTCCTCATGCAACAATCATAAGTGGCGATTTCAATTCCCACTCCGAACTTTGGGGAAGCGTAACTTCCTGTGAATCGGGCCTCAACCTCTCCGAAGCACTCGCAAATACTCAACTCCTTCCTCTCAATGATGGTTCCCCGACAAGAATCTCCTCCCCAAATGAAGCTCCTTCCTGTGTCGACCTCACTTTAGCTTCATCGAACATTGCTGTACAGTCAAACTGGTCTGTCCTACCAGACCACATGGGCAGTGACCACTACCCCATCTCCATTCTCATTAACTGCCATCCCGTATTCTCGAAAAATTCCAATCACAAAATTAATAAAGCTAAGATGGATTGGGTTCTTTTTGAAGAATCATTGAATGACAACATAAACCTCGTTCAAAACCTCGCGGATGAAACCCCTCCACAAATAAAATACGAATCGCTTATCGACAACATCATGAATGCGATATCCTACTCAACCCCCAAACCCAAGAAGACACCTCAAAGCAATCCTCACAATCGACCCGAAGTTAAAAAACAGAAGAAAAACTCCCCCCCTGCCCCCTGGTGGAACGAACAATGTTCAAAAGCTGTAGCTCTCAGGAGAAAAGCCACCACTGCCTTCAGAAAAGTCATCTCGGAACAAAACTGTATTGAAGTTAAAAAACAAACTGCGCTTACCAAACTTATCATCAGAAGAGAAAAAATAAAAGGATGGGCCAATTTTTGTATGACCCTAGATAGAGACACTCCCATCAAGACAGTCTGGAATAAGATAAAATGGTTTAAGAACCGAAACAACTGTAATCCAGCTCATATTCCCAAGCAAGACAATGAATCCGCTACTAAAATGAGAGAATTCATCGCTGACTTCTGTCCAGATCTTCCATCTGA